TCTTGACTAGACGAGTGCCTATGTAGAAAAAAGGAGACCTATAAGAGAGGTACCATGAAGGCAGACGGTCAGGTTGGGCAGTGGGCTGGGCACCATATTCTTCTGAATGGCTCTTAGCGCCCGGCACAAAGCCAGGCCCAAGGAGGTGCTGGCAGACACTTGCTGGGGGGTGGGGGTGGTGTAGTTTTGTCCATCCATCCGCCTTCATCTCCCTCCAGGAGAGCTGTGAGCGTGTCCCAGTGACTCTTCTTGGTGCCTGGAGTCTCTGGGCCCTGGACTGTGGCCCAGGCTGACCGGACCTCTACTCCATCTGGTCCATGCTCTCCCGTCACCTGTGCTCAGCAGGCCTTTCCTGCCACTTCTCTCTGACATGCAAACAGGTGGAAGAGCTGTCCTCACAGAACTCTGTCCTTGAGGGGAAATTGTGCCCTGCTGAGGGTATGCCCGTGGGCATGAGTGCATGTGTATGTGTTGGTCAGGTAATCAATATCTATGAAGCGCCTGCTACGCGCCGGGCTCTATGCTAAGTGCTAGGGCTGCAAAGAGACAAAAGCCGGGCCCTGCCCTCAAGGAGCTCACAGTCCAGTGATGGAAACAATGTGTAGACAGGTATGTGCAAACAAGTTATTTACAAGACAAGTAAGAAATGATCAAGAGGGGAGTACAGGAATGGAGAGGCGGGGAAGGCTCGGCCCAGGCTTCCTGAAGAATGTGGGGACTGTGGCTGAGACTTGAAGGAAGCTGGGGAGGTCAGTGTCAAAGAGGAGGAGGGGGAGCCCTCTGGCCCAGGTGGCCAGGGAGAATGCCCAGAACTGAGGGACAGAGGATCTTGTTCTTGGAAGATCAGAGGCCGGAGGTCCTGGACCCAAGGGTATGCGCTGAGGAGTGAGGGGTGAGAAGATGGGAAAGTGCTGAGGCCCAGCAGAGTAGTCTGTTTTTGCTCCTGGAGGAGATGGGGAGCCACTGTGGAGGAGGGGAGTGAGATGGTCAGACCTGGGCTTTGGAGGCTGAATGGAGGACAGACTGCAGGGGCAGAGAACTGAAGCTGGCAGATGTCTCAGTGGCTACTGAGGTGGTCCATGCCTGAGGAGAGGAGGGTGTGGACCAGTGTGGAAGCGGGGTTACAGTAGGGAAGGCAGTGCATGTGAGAGCTGGTGCAGAGGGGAAAGCCACAGGCCTTAGCACCATATTGGATCTGAGGGGGAGAGAGAGTGAGGAGCCCAGGACGACTCCCAGGTTGGGAGCCTGAGGGCCTGGGAGGATGGGGTTGCCCTCTGCAGTAATAGGGATGGTAAGAGAGGGGAGAATTTAGGAGGAAAGCCCATGAGTTTGGCTTTGGACAGAATGAGTCTTAAGATGTTGACTGGATGTCCTGTTCAAGATGTCTGAAAGGAAGCTGGAGATGAGAGATGGGAGGTCAGCAGAGAGACTGGGACAGGAAAGGGAGATTTGGGAATCATGAGCGTAAAGATGGTACTGGAGCCGATGAGACCACCCAGTGAAGTAGGTCAGAGGGAGAAAGAGGGCCCAGGACACAACCCTGAGGGACACCTACGGTTAGACCGAGTGACCTGGAGAAGAATCCAGCTAAGGAGACAGAGAAGGAGTGGTCAGAGAGGGTGGAGGAGAGCCAGGAGAGAGGTTTGAAAACCTAGAGGAGAGAGTGACCAGCAGCGGGGAGGCGGCAGAGAGGCCAAGGAGAACTAGGAGTGAGAAAAGGCCATGGGGTGTGGTCACTAAGTGGAGAGAAGGGTCAGTGGAATGATGAGGTCAGAAGCAGGTAGGAACAGTTAAGAAGAGCCCCTGTTGGACCAGGTCAAAAGAAAGAATAGAATGAATGGGAGGGCAGCATAGGATTAAGGGAAACAGAGTTAGTTTTTCACAACATGTCTACTAGGGACGTGTTTTGCATAACCTATATTGAGTTGCTTGCCTTTTCAATGAGGGTGGGTGGGGAGGGAGGAAGAGAGAAAATTTGAAACCTAAAGTTTTGAAAAAAATATGTTTAAAAAAAATGTTTTCACATGCTATCGGGAAATAAGAAATACAGGAAATGGGGTACAGAAGTCTATCCTGCCCTACAGGAAAATAGAAGGGGAAGGGGAGAAGAGAAGGGGGGAGAGATAGAAGAGAGGACAGACTAGGGGAAGGGATATTCAGAACGCCTGCCATCTTGGGGTGGGGGAGGGGGGAGATGGGGTGAAACTTTGGAACTCAAAAACTTGTGGAACTGAATGTTGCAAACTAAAAATAAATAAATTTACATGAAAAAATAAAATAAAACAACAACAACAAAGGAATGGCACTTAAATCAATGTTTTAGTCTACTGAAACACATGCTTTTTAAAATAGTAAAAATAAAAACAAATTCCAGTTAGGAAAAAAAAAAGAAAATGACAGGGGTAGCAATCAGAAGAATCAGGATTCAAATCCAGGGCCTATGATTCCAAATTCATACTCTTTTACTAAACCACGATGTCTTTGGCTAATGGATATCTGAGCTTCTGCTTGAATCTGTGTCTTCTGACTTAAGGTTGAGTGCTCAATTCCATTCTATGTACTGCTTTCACACCAACCCCCCAGTTAAAAACCTTCAATGGTATTCTGTTATATAAAGGATGAAGTCCAAATTCCTTTGCTTGGCATTAAAGGCTCTCTATAATCTGGCCTTCATTTTTGAGCAACTGAGTCACATTTCTGGGTTTTAAGTTTCCTCATCTCTTAAATTAGAAGATTAGATGATTGTATATTAGTATTAGTAGAACTGTAAGGGATTCCACTACTCTGCTATTCCAGCTGTATCTACTATTGCTTCAAACTGGCTTACTCAATGTCCTTCAATCATTTCTTTTGTTTTCTCACCTCCATGCCTTCATTCATGCTGTTTCTCTGTGTTCTTTCCTTATTATTAGTTTCTTTTCTCAGAAACTACTCATTTTTTCCTCCCTCAATTAAAACTTTACCATCCCTCATGGTCAGCTTATATGTCATTTTTTCTATGAAGAACACTACCACCTCAGCTATAAGTTATTTCTAGATTACCTCTTAAAGCCCATGTTATATATATCACTAATTTGTCATTCATCATTTGCTTATTGGTTTAGTTTACTTATTTTTTCTAGTTGATATCCCCAGCTGGATTATAAATTGCTTGTGGGCAGGGACTGTATAGTAAACATTTTTGTGTTCCACTAGGCGCCTAGCATAGTGTAATACTCATAATATATTCTCAGTAAATATTAATTGATTATTTAAAAAAATAAAAAGAAGAGCCCCTGTTGTAGGCAGCCCCTCAAGGACTTAGCTAGCTGCAAAGGGCAAGAGAGCTAGGGGCATGGTGAGGGGGGATGGGAGTCAAGGCGGGGTTTTGGGGGATGGGTTTGCAGGCAGAAGAGAAGGAACCAGTGGAAAGGGAGAGCTGGAAGATAAATAAGAGTGGGGATGACAGAGGGAGCAATCTGCTGGGGGAGACAGGACTTCAGCAGGCCTTGGTCAGGAGTAAAGTAAGGCCACCTTATCGTGTCCAACAGGTGGGGGAGGAGAGAGGGCTGGAGGCATCCGGGCGATGTGGGGTCTCGGGAGAAGAGGGGAACTCACAGCACCTGGCCTCCAGTGTGTCTGTCAGATGCAAGTGTGTGTGTGTGAGAGTGAGTGTGTGTGTAAGAGAGTGAGTGTGTGTGTGAGAGAATGTGTGTGTGTGTGTGTGTGAGAGAGAGACAGAAAGAGAGAGAGAAAGCCCCTTCGCGTGCTTGGGGCTCCTTCACTCGACTACTCTTGGGTGGGACACTGGTCCTGGGCCAGAGATGCCCGGCCTCTGGCCTCCTTTCCTAGCCCTGTTTTTAGGGTTAAGTGTGGGGGTGTGGGTGGCTGTGTGGGTGCGCATATTCGCAGCCCCTCGGGGCTGTCTTGGTGATGTAGTCACAGCAGTGAATAGACTCTCATCTGGGCCTGGGGAGCAGAAGAAGATTGAGGCTGCCCGTCCCTGGGGGCCTCCAGAAGGAATGGGGAGCCAGAAGTGGGAGCAAATGGAGCTTTTTGCTGGCGTCCTTAAGGAGGGCCAGGTTCTGGTACCAGATCTGTTTCTGATGGTCCGGGTCACCTTGGTCAAGTCCCTTCTCCCGCCTGGGCCTCAGTTTTCCTCTTCTGTTCAAGGAAAGGGTTGCATGTAATGGTCTAGGTTCCCCAAGCTCTGACACAGCACGCTCTTTATCTAAGGGCCTTCCTGGTGACTTCCACCTTCTGTGTTCTAAGACTCTGCCAGCTCTTACTTTCCATGGTCTGTAACCGAAAGCCGTTCTTGGCTCTAATGTTCTAGGTGCCTGGTGCTCTTTGGAAGAGAGCAGCTTTTGGGGTAGACAAGGTGCAGTGGCTTGTGGAGTCCACTGTGTGGCCTGAGCCTGCAGGGCCTGAGCCAGGGGCAGTCACCCCGCCCTGTACCGAGGAGCGTATTGAGAGCATGTCAGGGAATCTTTCTTGAAGGGAAGTTTTAAGGAGCCCAGAAACCCCATGGCCACATCCTCTGACAGGGCGCAGACAGCAGGCTCCCTCCTTGGGCAGCCCTCCAAAGCCAATGTCTGCACCACAGGCCCAGTCCTGTAAGGGTGAGAAAACCGCAGCCATCTTGTGAGTGGGACCCAGAATCCTGGAGTTGGGCAGGTGGCTGGTGTGGCTCCTTCCTCTGCTGAACCTGAGCCATCTCCCCCAGCTCTGAAGGCTGTGGGGCAACAGGGCCCTGGAGAGTCACGACCTAAACCTGGCTGTGGCTAGGCACCTTCAGTTCATCACCGGTCACGGCCGGCTCCCGTCCTTGGTGGCACGGGGCTGGCTTCTGCCTAGCGCCCTCCAGCCCCGGAGCTCGCAGGCTGGAGCCACACAGGGGCAGTTGGCAGAGTGGCCTTGGAATGGACAGCCTTGGGCTGGAGGGCTCAGAGGGCCTCAGCGGGCAGGAAGATGGTCCCCACTCTATCTCAGTCGCTTACCTGGTTTCTCTCCTACAACAGCTGGCCGGAGGCGTGATCTTGGGGGTGGCCCTTTGGCTCCGCCATGACTCGCAGACCACCAGCATCCTCCATCTGAATCTGGATGATAAGCCGGCTCCTAGCACCTTCTATGTGGGTAAGTGGGGCCCAGGCTGGGGGAGGGAGAGCCCACCTTGGTCCCTCTCTTGTTGGGGTCAGCCCCTGGAGACAAGTCCAGAGGCCTGAGGTCTGGTCCTCCGTTTGCCAGTGACTCGCTTTTGAGTGTCTCCGTCTGTGGGCCTCAGTTTTCCCATCTGTGTAATGGAGGATTTGGACTTGATAGGACAGCTGGTAGGGCCCTCAGATGTGGGAGCCCCTCTGGCCGTGCAGGGAACTGTCTTTCCAATCTGCAGTTGGGTTCATTGGATGAGCCCCCCAACCCCTGGTGTTCCCAGTTGTGTCCTCAGGGAATCAGGAGGAGCATACTTGGATCCTGCCTGCTCTGGGGGGCCTCCCAGTCTGGGGGGTGAGAAAGATGAGGAGGAACTAATTAAGTGCCCCATGGGGGTGGGGGGCTGCAGAAACTTGCCTGCCCTCTGGAAGGGCCCTGAGGCCTCTGGGACAGCTGGGGTCTGAGCTGAGTTTGGAAGGGGCGTAGGATTCAGATAGGCTGGGGGGAAGGGAAGGGAGCAAAGGAGTGGGGTGCCCCAGGGCAGCCCAGCCCCAGGGAGGGTGCTTGAGTAAAAGCCTAGGGGATAGTCTAGTGAGCCCTGGAGGCCAGAGGAAGAGGGGAAGCCTCAGGCCTGTTGTACTGCTTCACCTGGCTCTGGCCCAGGCCATTAGATGGGCCACTCCCCCACCCCCATCGTCCCCTGGGGCTGGCAGGGGGACCCCCACCCATCACCCCTGGTTGAGGGGCAGTATTCCTTAGTCTGCTTGGGGCTCCTTCACTGGGTACTCTTGAGTGGGACACTGGTCCTGGGCCAGAGCTACCTGGCCTCTGGCCTCCCTCTCTAGCCCTGTTTTTAGCTCTCTACTTTCTTGTTTGCAGGGGAGCATGTCTGCGATGAGGGGCACCTTGCCCCCATGGCAGGGATGTGGGTGTGTCGGGCCCTTTGGGTTAGGTTCTGGACCTTGGGAAGGGTAGGGAGCCCTGGGAAAGCCTGGTGCTTCCTCACTGTACCTTGCCTGGAGGGAGGGAAGGGGGCGGCTGAAGGAAGAGCCGGGCCAGTAGGAAGGCAGCCCAGAGGGGGGGGGGCCAGGGCTGAGTCACATCCTCCACAGCCCCAGGGGCGCCGGGGCTGCTCCATCCCCTCCATCGCCTTCCCTCTCTCAAAGCCTTATTTGGCCTCTGCTTCTCCAAGACAGCAGTTGCTGGGAGGTGGAGCCCATCCCCCCTGTGGCCCCAGGATACTCAACCCCAGTAGGCTACTTGCCAGGGCCAGGGGTGGGCAGTGGGGAGGCTTCCCTGATGACCTCTGCCCTTTGCTTTCAGGGTACCTAGAATAGGGAGGCAGAGGACCTGAGTTCAGATCCTAATGTTTGTTAGCAGTGTGACCTTAGGCAAATCTGCATTGTCCTGAGCCCCCACTGTCCGTCAGACGAGGGGGTCAGCTGAGGGTCTCTCAGCCAGTGGGCTCCCTTGGGCACCTTGGCCATGACAGGAGACATCTGGGTCCTCAAGCCCCTCGACTCTGTCTCTTTTCTCCTTATTTAGTTGTGGTAAAGGAGACGGCAGCTGCTGTCCATCTGCCGCCAGAGGAGAGGCCCGCTGAGTTCTGTTAGGGGCTGGCTCTGGCCAGATGCCTCTGGTCCAGCCCAGCCCACCCAGCTCTCCAGCCACCCACCACAGAAGGCGGCCAGCCCCGGGCCCCAGGGAGGGGAGGAAGGCGGTGGGGCCACCAACCCCCGGCAGGATGAGGCATTCTCGGCCTGCCGAGAGGCCGAGGTGCAGGGAGGCCTGCTCCCCCCTTTCCCCTGGAAGCCAGCAAGAGCCTGGGCTGGCATCATGGCCCCCCGCTGGCCTCTCAGCCCCTTGCTGGCACGGGCCCCCTGGCTGGCACGGCCCCCCGGCTCCCCTCGGAGGCTGCCAGTCTTTGTGTGTGGGCTGACCTCACCCCTAGTCCTGCTCTCTGAAGAGTTCCTTCTCAGAGACCCTGCTAGGGCCACGGCCCTCTTCCCCCGCCCCCACCAGGGTTATCTCAGGGAGGAAGGATTCCTTCCTTTCCCTCAGCTCCGAGGAACCTCCAGTGGACCAGGAGGGGAGGCCCTTTAGGGCTGGCTCTGAGATTCCCTGGGCTCCTCAGTCCTAGCTGGTGACCACACCTCCCTTCCAGGCCGTCAGCACACAAGGGCATGGTGCAGACACGGTTCTTTGAGTTCCCAGGGGTGGCATGTCTACCTGGACCCATGACGCTCCCTGGCATGCTGGAGCAGAAGGGAAGGGGGGAGCTCTTGGTTTCATGGGGCCCTGGGGGCTCCCTGATACATCTATCTGAGCAGAGGCTGGGGCCATTGCCAGGCAGAGGTAGCCTGGCCTGGTGGTGGGAAGTCCTGTGGGGCCCCACAGAGGGCAAGTGCCCCCCACCTGTTCCCTTGGCAGTAGACAGCAGCTGTTGCAGGCCTGCCCACTACGCCCGGCCCGCCTCTGGGATGAGGCTTTCCCTCATGTGTCCATCTGTGGTCTCAGGTGTGCCAAGGCTGGGCCCAGGGGGTGAAGGGACTCTGCCAGGGCACCCAGTGAGTTGTGATGATGCTGGTCACAGCAGCCACAAGAATGGTGGCATTGGGTTGTTTACCAGGCATTTTATGGTCCCCTTCTCACGGGCCCTGGGACAATTAACCTGGACCAGCTCTGTTTGGGATGTCAGCAGAGCGCGCCCTCCCCTCCTGCTGCCAGCGTGCTGCGGCCCCTGCCCTGCAGCCTCCAGCCCGAGAGGGCGGCCTACGCAGGAGCGGGTCACGCGGCTGGGTTATCTGGGACACATGGACTTGAACCCAGCTCCTGCTAGGGTTTAGAAGAGAGCCGGTGAAGACCAGAGTGTAGACAGCTTGTCCAAGGCGGAGGAGATGGGAGGACCCAGAGACTTTTATTGTCTTAAGTATGGGGTGAATGGTCTTCAGGGAGGGGGTCAGGAGAGAGAGTGGAGGCGAGGTGTGTGCGCGTGTCTGTGCCAGGCTGGCAGGGCCCATCCCCCAATCATAAGTCAGGCTTCTAGGAGACGGTCAGGGGTGACCCCAGAGTGGAGGGGCGTCTCCAGTTTTGTCTGGTGAAGTCTGAGGCTCCCGGGCCTCAGCATGAGGTGACAGGCAGGCCAGAGGGGGAGGCTGGCCAGCTGGAAGGTTTGGAGTCGGGCAGAGGGACTGCTTTTCTGCGGCTGTGGAGATTGGTGGCCCGCCCTTGTGGTGGGAGGGAGGCCCGTGGTAGGTGGGAGTCAGCCACGGCTGGGCTGGACATGGAGACCTGGGGGATGGGACAAGAGTGGAGCAGACTTTGTCACCAGGGCCGAGGTGACGGCCTGGCCACCCTCGCTGTCGCTGCTCCTGGACTCTGGGCCTGGCTTCAGAAGCAGGCCAGCACTGGGCTCCAGATGGGGCTCCAGGCTGGGCTGCTAGCGCAGGACTGGGGGCCGTGGTGGTTAGAACCCCTCCAGCACCCTTCTGCTGCGGCCTTCCTTCCACCAGCCCCAGGACCGAGTCCCACAGCCGCCCGTGGGCCTGGGCAGGCCTTGTGGCATCCACAGCAGGTGGCCTTGGAGTCACAGAATCTCAGTGTGGGAGGGGACCTTGGAGCTGTCCAGAGAGGCCACAGAGGCCAGGGGCTTGCCCACCTGGGCCAGAACCCAGATCATGGCTGTGGGGCCTTCGTGGGGGAGGGAGGGCCCCAAAGCCTGGGAGCCACAGTGCCCGTCCCCAAGCCCCAACCCTTGCCAACTGTGTGACCTGGGGGACCCCTCCAACGGGCCTGTGCCTGAAGCCCCTGGGCCTCGATTGGACACCCTGCTCCTTGCTGCTGTGATCCCATGGACTCGGGCAGGCTGGCCCTGGGGGCAGATTGGCCCTCAGTGGTGTGTCTAAAGGGGCCCATTTAGGGGTGGGGTGGGGGAGGGGGGAGGTGGTTACCGCTAGTCTAAGGGTGCCTCAGCCGGTTGGGGCCGAGCCGGGGAGCGAGCCCTTGGCCCTCTCATGGAGGTGAGGCCAGCCAGCTTGGGGGGATGGGGAGCCCAAGTGTCCCTGCTTCTCTGCAGCTGGGGAGGCCTTGGTGCCTGAAGCAGGAGTTCCCAGGGACAGGACAATGGGCTTATTGTGCTGGCTGAGAGGGGTGGGACTTCAGCCCAGCCCCTTAGGGCATGCCATGGTGATGGGCCCTGCCTTCCCCCTCTGCCCGGCTCCTCCTGGGATTCTGAGCTAGACCTAGAGAGGCCTTTAAGGACCATGGAGTCCAGCCTCCTCTTTTTACAGATGAGGAAACTGAGGCAGAGGTTAAGTGAGGCCAAAGTCATGCAGTGAGTATGAGACAGGATTTAAACTCAGGTCTTCCTGACTACAAACCTAGCGCTTCATTGGATCAATTAATCTCCCTCTGTCTGTCTGTCTCTGTCTCTATTTCTCTGTCTCTCTTTCTTGTCTCTGACTCTCTTGTCTCTGTATCTCCATCCCTTTCTGTCTCTGTCTCTGTCTCCATCTCTTTCTGTCTCTGTCTGTCTCTGCCTCTCTCTGTCTCTGTGTCTCCATCTCCTTCTGTCTGTCTGTCTCTCTCTCTCTCTCCATCTCTCTCAGCTCCATCCCCCTTCCCTTCCTCATACACAGTTCCTCCTCTGCTGTGGACTCTTCAGAGCTGCCTGACCTCCTTTTCCTAACCCTCAGAGTCGGGGGTCACCCCACCTTTCTGGCCCTGTTATTCTCCTCCATATTCTGCAGAGTAAAAGAGCCCTGAGGGTGGCCTGTGCTCTCCCACCACTGAGCCTTTGCTCAAGCTGTGCCCTCCTCTCGGCACCCCCTCTCCCTCACTGACTTCTCCCTGCCACTTCAGCAGCTGTCCTTGCTCTTCCAGACTCAGTTTCCCCATTGGGTCCCCTCCCCTCCAGCCTGTCAAGACCAGGGCTCTCTTAAGGGATGGTTACTCCTACCAGGCTTGTGTCTGTTACTGGGTCTGAGCTGGAGCCTTCCGGAGACCGTGGCCTGGCTAAGGCTGTGCAGCTGGGTCCGAGAGAAGCAGGGCAGGCGGGGCAGATGGAGCGGCCTGCTTCTTTCTGCAGGGCCGCCGGACCGTCCTCCTGTGGACAGAGCTGGGGGCTTTAGAGCCTCAGCCTTCTTAGGGCACAAAGAGGAGACTGAGGCACAGTGAGCTCTGGGACCCTCCCTGGGGCCTCCTTCCTGCTCCTCCTTTTAGCTGCTGCATTCGAAACAGGAAGCCTTGGGGCCATCAGCTTTTCTGGGCTCCTCTTGCCGCAGTGCAGACTGACCCCGAGAGCACCCCAGAAGTCAGGCACCCCCCATCTCAGCCTGCTCCCTGACAAACAGCTGCCACCCCCCTCACCCCGCTCTGAACTCTTTCCCTCCCCCTTCCCCCAGTCCAGAAGGCGTCTGGGCATCCTTGGGAGAGTTCAGGGCTGTGATTTTGGGGCATCGTCATGGCAACCCAGGGGCTCACGAGCCAGAGAGAGGCATGGGGGTGGAGAGGCTGGGCAGTGCCTGCCACCTGTGGGCAGTCCTGGTGGGCTCCCACCCAACGCCCCCCCCATCCCAATGCTCAGCGCGGCTGCAGACCGGGCAGGAGAACCGGGCCATTCTGGTCACTGTGCGAAGCGGCCTCAGCCAGGCGCCAGGGAAGTGAGAGCAGGGCCACAGCCAGGCCACCTCGGCTCTTCACAATGGCAGGCATGGAGAGAGAGAGAGCCCTTTGTGTGTGTGGCCTTGTTTAAGCCTCTGAACAAGCCCAGGAAGTAGATGCTATTGGGATCCCCATTTTACAGATGAGGAAACTGAGGCAGACAAGTGACTTGCCAGGAAGTATCTGAGGCAGAATTGGAACTCAGGTCTTTCTTCCCCCCAGGTCCACCCGTCCACCCATTGCTTCACTCTGGCTCTACCTTAGATGAGTGTTTGGCAGATGGCGCCATAGGAGAGCCCTGGGTTCAGGTCCTAACTATGACCATGGGCAGATGCCTCACCTTTCTCTCTGGGCCTGAGAGGCTGATTGAGATCATGGCTAAGACCCGCCCAGAGCAGGCTCTCCACATTGTGCCTGGCATGGAGCCCTGCCGCGCACCCGGTGGGCTGCTTTGTCTGCCTCAGTGGGGCTCTGGGATGCAAGCAAGTCAGGCTGCCGTGGGCCATGCCCCTCCCAGCCTGCACTAGTCCCCTTACTAGTCCTGCTCTCTCCCCACAGATAGGGCTTTGTGGATGGGGAGGGGGAGCAGAGACTTCATTGGTCTCAGCTCCTTACAGGGGTGGGGTCTGCAGTCAGGAGCCAGCCTGGGGCCTCGAGGTCCCTGGGAGAGGTGCTATCTAAGCTGCCCCTAGAGGGAGGGGGGGATGCCCCAGGGAGGTTGGGGGAGGGGGGCGTTCTGCCTCCCCCCCCAGCACACACTCCCCCATGCCACAGTGGGGAGCTCACTACCTCCTGAGACAGCTGCGAGTATCAGAAGTGCTTCCTGGCCTCTTCGCAGCTCCCCCCATGGTCCCTGGCCCCAGTGCTTGAAGGTGGTGGTCCGTCGGCATCCTCCTGCCCCGCCCGGCCTGGCCCCTGGCAGCTTCTGGGCTGACCTCGGGCTCTGTCCCGGTGGCTCTTGTAGTTAGAGCTCCGAACTCCTCCAGTTGGGGGAGGGCAGCTGTGCCCGTGCCCCCCCATCATTCTGCCAAGGACTTGTAACATTCGGTACAATTGCCTCGCTGGTCAGTGTTCAAGGGCTTGCCGTGTGCCAAGCCCTGTGCTGGGCATACATAGACAGGGGAAAAGAAAAGCAATCCCTGCCCTCAGGAAGCTTCCCTTCTAACGGCAGAGACAAGTGCAGCTGCCTAGGCACATACACGAGGCGTTCCGCTTGCATGGGAGGGCGGCCTTGGCAGGGAGCAGGGCGTTCCAGGCAGGTCGAGCTGCCGTGGCCCCTCGAGGGCGGAGGACTTTGGCCACCTCCTAAGCATTGGCTGATGGAGCTGCATGGCCTGGGGGTGGCCCCACACTGAGAGGGGCTGCGGGGGGCCGGGGCTGGGGACGGCCCCTCAGCAACCCGGTCTGTTCTTCTCTCCCAGGCATCTACATCCTGATCGCTGTGGGTGCCGTGATGATGTTTGTGGGTTTCCTCGGCTGCTATGGTGCTATCCAGGAGTCTCAGTGCCTGCTGGGGACGGTAAAAAGTCCAGCCACCTTCTGTGAACATCCACTTCCCCACGTGGAAACCCCCCCCCAAAAAAACCCCCAAGCCCAAGCTCTTTGGGCTACGCAGAGCCCGCCCCTCGTCTGAGGCCGCCCTTGGGAGTGGCGGAACCAGGAGGCACAGAACTGTCAGGGGCCTTCCAGCCCAGAATCCATCCTCTGCTAAGGGGTCAGGGCTGGAGCTGGAGGGCACTGTGGGTGCCCTGTGGTAAGGAAGGTGCTGATGGGCCACACAGCTCCGGAGGAGGGCAGCCAGACCCGGGAGGGGCTTGGGCCCACCAATAAGCTCCCTCCATGTGTCCCCAAAGGGGGATGGTGGGGACAGCCAGGCCAGGCAAGGGCCATGGGGGCCTGGCCAGGTGGGTTATCAAGGTGATACGAGGGTACCTCAGAAGGATCAGGAGAGAGGCATGGTGGTGGTGACCAGCCCATGCCAGGAGGCCAAGGAAAGATTCTCTGCCTGAGAAGCAGGGGCACCCAGGGCCACCTGTCCCCCTCCCCACAGGCTGGAAGGTCGGCCCATCCTAGAACCACAGATTTAGGCCGGATGCGGCCTTGACTCCCGGGCTCAGGTGGGACAGGTTGGGCAGGAAGCAGGGAGAAGCCAGGAAAGGCCAGAAGGCAGGGTGGAGCTCAGGGATCTGAACGTCCGAGTTAGCACTGGCCACGCCTTGTGGCTTTGCTGGGGTGCCTTTCTTGGGTACCTGTGGGGGCGGGTAGGAGGAGGCAGGGCACAGAGCCAGCTCAGCCAGTCCTCAAGGCCACAGCCAAGCAGGGGAAGGGGAAGGGAACAGTGATCGATTATGTGCCTGCTGTGGGCCAAGCACTTCACAAATACCTCACTGGCCCCTCACAATCCTGGGAGGTTGAAGCTATTGTGACCCCCACTTTATGGATGAGGACACTGAGGCAGGTGGCAGCTAAGTGACTTGTCCGGGGTCATGCAGCTAGGAAGTGTGTGAGGCCAGATTGAAGCTCGGATCCTCCTGACCCCAGAGCCAGACACATCCACCACAGGCCTGCTGAGCCCCTGCAGGGCCCCTTTAATCAGCCTTGTGCGCGCTGGTGGCTGTCACTGGGGCCTGGCTGTGTCCACAGTTGGTCCGCCCCCTGAGTTCTGGAGCTTCTGGGCCTGCTGTGGGGCAGAGAAGAAGGGGGCCTGACTTGGGGAACCTCTGCACACTTCAGTTTCCTTGTTTGTAAAACAAAGCAGTTGGTGCTGCGGTCAAAGTAGATCAGGTCAATGTCTGTTGGGTGGGATTGAGTTAACCCTCCCTCCCTGGACAGTCTGCCTTTTAAAGCCCCTTCCAGCTCTCAGGACCTGTGTCCCACTGGCCTCACCAGTCCTGATGTGTTCCACGTTCCAGGCTTGCCCCGCACACAGCTCCCGTGTTGGGAGGCCCAGACCTTCTATGTTCTGAGGCCCGTCCAATGCTCAGAATCTCTTTATAAAGCTTTCCAAGTCCTCTCCTAAGAATTTGGGCCTTGGTATCCATTCTCAGTCTGTGCTGGACATGAAGGTTCAGCTCCCAGGCCTCATTCAGTGCCATATGACCAGGGTCTAGATGACCGCTGGCCTTTGGTTGTAATATTTCACTGGTACGTGAACCCTGGCACTCTTGGGGAAGGGGAGCCAGCCTTGTGCCCTTGGGGCACAAAGGGTAGCACTAGGACCCCCCGGGGATTAGGGGAGGCTGGGGCTATGTGCCAGAGGCCCGTTCAGGCTGGAGGGCAGACAGAGATGGCCCAGAGTGGAAGGGGCTGCCCGGAGTGGCCCCCTCCCGGGCAGTCTCTGAGCAGACTGGAGTGGATACCCTCTCCAGGGGATGCTTCTTCAAGGCTGGGGGGTGGGTGAGATGCTGCACCCACCTCAGGTGCTGGGGAAGCCTGCCCCTCCTCCCTTTGTAAGGAGGCAGACTGGTAGCGCTGACTCTTGAGGTCACTTGGCACAGCACCTCCCCTTCTATTCCAAGAGAGAAAGCAGATGGCCGATTGGGGAGGGGACGCCCATAGCTAACTCAGGGGATCCAAGCTGCACCTCCAGCCCAGGTCTGGGCCCTCCCAGGCCAAATCCCTCTCACCTCCCCCCACCTGATCTTGGGTGTCTAGGGGAAGCCCATCTGTCCCTGCCCACAGCAGGGCACAAATCACTTTTCACTTCTGGTTTTGACAGTTTTTCACCTGCCTGGTGATCCTGTTTGCCTGTGAGGTGGCTGCTGGAATCTGGGGCTTTGTCAACCGGGACAAGGTAAGCTAGGGAAATCAGCTGGCCTTCCTTCTGTTTTGGGGGCAGCCTCAGGGCCCAGCCCTGGTGTCCAGTCGGCCTCATCCCAGACCCTGGGACACCAGGGCCCAGTTCAGGTGTTTGGGACCGGTTAGAAGCCTGGAGAGCTGGGCTCTCAGTGCTCCCTCCCTCCTCTGTGGCTCCTGGCTCTTTGGAGACGGGGCTGAGACAACCCCTGCCAGCCCTGAAGCCCTTCAGGATATTGAGAGCATCCTGGGCAGCCCCCGAGGACGATAAAGCCAGTGATAGCAAGTATCTCCTTAATGCTACTCTGGACAGATGGCGGCTGGCTGCTTTCTTCTGGCCCGCCCCAGACGGGGCATGGGGATTTGGGGGGGGCTTGGGGGGCACATATCAGATCTAATCTTTTCTCCTCCCTTCCTCCCTCCTTCACCCCCTCCCCTGCCAAGGGGGAGCTGAAATCTCTCTAGCTCTTGTGCAAACCTGCTTAAGCAGAGTAGAGACTTGGGGCCATGGGGTGCTCAGAGCCACTGCTGAGGGCAGGGCTTAGCCAGACGCCCTCAGGTTCCCATGGCCCTGCCCAAGGAGCCCCATCCCTGGATGGGCACTGGTGTGGCAAGCTGGGGCCGGGCAGGGCTGCTCTGGGGAATGGGAGCTGAGGCAGGCAACGAATGCACGTGTCAGTGTGGGAAGCTGCTGAAAGGGGTGCTCCTCGGGAGTCCTCTCAACACTGCCCAGTACCCCGCCTCCTCCCCAGCCGTCCCCACCGGCCGATGCTCCGGTCCTATCTCTGACGTTTCATAGCTGGGTGACCTTGGGCTGCTGCCTTTCCCTCTCTGGGCCTCACTTCCCCTCAAGGGCTTCAGGAGGAGTCCTCTTAAGCGTGCTGTGTTTGAAGACTGGGGTAAAGTGAGACACAAGGTCCTCAGCAGCCTCACTGGCAGCGACCAGTCATTTCATTGGGTCCTCTTAAAAATCGCCAGCCCCAGCGGTCGTGGAGTTGTGGGAGGTACCAGAGAGCCCAGCCCAGCACGGGGCAGGTGGGGAAGGCGTGAGGATTGGGCAGAAGAGCTTGCCGTCTGAAAAGGCAAAGGCACTCACGTCCTGTGGCTGAGAAACACTCCTTGTTTGAGTGCAGCTGTGAGGTTAGAGACAGGGGCCGGGACTCTGTGAGTAGCAGGCCGGCTGACCTTGAAGGTAGCTCGGAGGCAGAGACACCAGAGCCGACTCCCCAGGGCCCTCGCTCTGAGGGGCAAGGACACCTGTCCGAGACGGTGGCGGCCACTGGTGAGGGTCCTTCTCTTTTACAGCTGGGCTGCTGTGGCTCCGATGCACTTGAAGGGCAGCAGATTTCCCCAACATGAGCAGGAGGGCCAATGTCTAAACTGACTCGTCCCAGGCCAGCCGACTTTCCTGACTGAGTTCAGACCCAAGGCCTCGTGGCTTAGGCAATTGCAGGACAAAATCGATTAGCTGTATATAGGATCAGTGAAAAAAAGACAGAATCCATGGTCTGATTATGTCAGCCACAAGAAGCTGGTTGTGTCTGCGGCCCCACTCTGTGTGTGCCCACCCCCAATCTCATCTGTCCCCACAAGCTCTGCCCAACTGATAAGAAGCATGGGCAGCCGCCAGGCCCCACCACCACCTGGCTGCCAGTGACGCCGCCGTCTTCTCTCCTCAGATCGCCAAGGACGTGAAGCAGTTCTATGACCAGGCTCTGAATAAGGCCGTGCTGGAGGAGAATGCTGGCAATGCCAAGACGGTGGTGAAGTCCTTCCATGAGACGGTGAGAGGTGGGAATGGGGGTGGGGGGCAGCAGGCTCTGCCCCACTCTGGCCACAGTGGGGACGGTGTGGACCGTGTAGATGTGCTTGTCTGGGAGGGGCTGCCAGGCTGGATAAGGCCTTCTCGCTCCAAGGGGCAAGGGCACCTGTCCGAGGCGGTGGCGGCCACTGGTGAGGGGCCTTCTCTTTTACAGCTGGGCTGCTGTGGCTCCGATGCACTAACCTCCTTAATCACGGCTGCCATCAAAAGTGAGCTATGCCCAAGCGGAAGCAACGTCCTCATCACCCCCTTTAAGGTAAGGTCCGCCCACGGGCAGGTGGAGATGCTGGCCGACTGGGCGGGAAGCCGGGTCTGAACTGGGGGCCGCTGCTGGGCAAGATCTGGGGCTTGGCGATCTCGGTGTGGGCCAGGCTGTGCCCCAGCTGCCTCCTCTCTCTCCCTCCCCACTGTGTGCATGTATGTGGGCCTGGTGGTCTCCCCACCTGGGTCTCCCCCTCGCCTTTCCCTCTTGGTGGTGATTTCTGTCTCAGCCTGCCTCAGAAGCCTGGGCGGGCAGCCGTTCCAGCGGGTCACTGGGGCTCCTCCCCTGCTCTTCTCCGCAGGCAAACTGTCACCAGAAGATCGACGAGCTCTTCTCCGGGAAGCTGTATTTGATTGGCATCGCCGCCATCGTGGTAGCTGTCATCATGGTGAGGAAGGGAGCCCGAAGGGGAGGGTCACCAGGGAAGGCCCGGCAGGCCCCCAGCTGCTGGATTACTATTCATTGATGGCAGAACCCCAAGTCTGTGGCAGCCCCAACAATGGCTGCCCCCCAAGGCCTTTGCTGTCTTTGCTTGAATCCATGACATGGACAGGGACAGATGACAGCAAGCTGGAGGGTAGGGGAGAGACCTGGTGCCAAGCTGGGCAGCCCGGAACAGTGGCATCACTCCCGTAGGGATGAAGATGAAGTCCAGCATTAGGGATCAGAAATCAACTCTGCACTTAGGCAGCAACTGTTCTGGAAGAGATCTGGGGGTCTGAGTGGGCTACAAGCTCCACAAGCTGGACAGCGTGCTGTGGCAGCCAGAATAGCTAATTTGATCTGGGGCCACCTTGAGAGCAGGACTAGGGGAGGGAGGTGATTGACCCTCTGTGCTTGGCTCCGGTCAGACCTCACCTAGAGAAAAGTGGTCGTTTCTGGGGCCACATTGGAGGCAGGACAGCGCTAAGCTGTAGAGGCTGGAGGAGGAGGTGAGCAGGACAGGCAAGAGCCTAGAATCCGTGCCGTATGGGGAGCCATCAGCCTGGAAAAGAGGAGATGGGGGCACGCGGCCCTGTCCCTAATGCACCCCCTTCCCCCTGCAGATTTTCGAGATGATTCTCAGCATGGTCCTGTGTTGCGGTATTCGGAACAGCTCCGTATACTAAGGGCCGCACCTCTGGGGCTGTTCTGAGGTGTGGGCAGGCAGGAGAGCAGGGGAGCCCCCAGACTGTCGCCGAGTGACCAGGAGACGTCTGAAGAGAAATACAGAGAATTATGTATAGAAATGTTTCTGATATTACCATACAGTACTTATTAGCATTTTTACTTTGGAGGGTTGGGGCAGGGGGGTGGGGGCGGGGAGGTGTTTTTATTTTTGAAATAAAGAAGTTGCCAGATCCCTTTCTATGCCTCCGGCTACACGTGGTCCTGTGTAGCCAGGGCCTCCAGGGGGTCTCCCGGGCTTAGGGCGGGCAGAGGAGCCTGTAGGGAGGCTCGGCTCAGGGGGCCCCCATCTTCCTACAGAGCATGAACTTAGGGCAGGGGCGGAGGCCCTTGCTGGCCCTGCCTTCTGAGGTGGGAAAGGAGAGATGCAGGACCCCAGCCCTGAGGCACCCTCGCTCATGCGGGCCTTTTTTTTTTTTTTTAACTAATCTGCATTATTTTTCCAGTATCTACTTTCTTGAGCAGCATTTCTGACATTCTCACACTTTCTGGCCTTGTATGTCTGACTCTGGCCCCTTAGAGTATAACTTGGCCGTCCAGGACAGGCCCAAACCAGTTCATTTCAATAAAAGGAAAGAAAAGCAGGATTGGTGTGGACCCTTCCCTGTAAACCCTGCTTGGCAGGAGGTCTCCTGGGACTGGGCAGAGGTGGGGGTGGGAGGCCTTTAGTTCTGAGGAAAACTGGCCAGTGCTGTGGAGGCCCAGAGAGGCCCCAGCTGGCTGGCCTTCCTGCCCTCCTGCCTGCCAGCCTCAGTCCCAGCCCCTTCTGTCCCTACCTCCTGGCTCCCCTGGCCCGAGTGGGAGGGCCTTGGCCTGGGGAGGGGGCTGGACTGAGGGGACCTGTCTCTTGCCCCCTGGTAGGTTGCACTGCCAGTGGCCGGCTTGGTCTATGGACATGATAGGCCATCTTTGGCCACGAGGCCCAGCCCGACCGACCCTTCTCAGCCCACTTTGAGCCCTTCACCAATGCCTGGCTCTCCTGCCTGGAAGTTCCCCCACTGTTCTGGGATGTTCAGAAGGGAGGCCCCCCCAGGTGCACATTTGGAAGTGGGTGATGGAGCCCTAGAAAGCCTTAAAGGAACACTGCCCAGAATGTCCTTCATTTGGAGGGAGGGGGCAGAGCTCCCCAGGCCTGCCTCCTCAGGCCTTCCCAGCCAGTCTCTTCTGTGCTGCCCTGGGCATGCATGTATGTATGTTTACATAGATGTTGTATGTACTCAAGTATGTTCTGGACACAGGCCCTGCATCTTTCCTGGCCCTGCTATTGGGCCTGGAGGCAGCAGCCAGGCCTCATTCCCTGTGCCGTGCCTCAGGGTTCTGTGTTTATGTTCTGTGGGTAGCTGGGGGCTCCCATGGGGCGTCCTCCCAGAAGGGGCCAGGCTGGGCCAGGAGGGGTCACCCGTGAGGTGTTGATTCCTGGGTTTAACCACCATCTCCCTGTTTCCTGGGTTTCTGCCCGGGTCTGGAGTCCAGGCTCCTGGCTGGGGCCCCAGCCTGCACACAGCAATGTGGCAGGGGGCAGGCGCCATCTCTGATGCCTTGAGGCTGAGAACCCATCCTACGGGTCCTGGGCTCCCCCCAAAGAAGGAGAGAAAGCCCTCCAGTCTCCTGCACATGGGCAGGGGTGCTGCTGGCCTCTCCCAGGCGGGGCTGGGAGGCAAGAAGACCCCCCCAGGAAGAGGTGGCCCATAGAAAGCTTGGCCCTCTGGCCCCCCAGCTCTGAGGCTGGCTCTGCCCTGGCTCTGCCTTTCTCTTCCTTGTGTGTCTGTGCTTCACCCTGGCCTTCTCCAGTGATGCTTGCCCTGTGCTCCATGCCCTGTGCCCTGTGCCCTGTGCCTTGTGCCCTGCACCCCATGCCCTGGCTCTCAGAACCGTCCCTTGCCTGGCTGGGCTGAGACTGTCCCCAGGTGTCTCCCATCAGACCAGAGATGGGCCCTGCATGCCCGCTGTCTGCTCCATCTTCAGGCGAGCAGGGCTGAGGTCTTGGGTGTCCCCTACCAGGCCCAGGCATAGTCAGGAAGGAGTGTACCCTTTTTCTTTCACCTCCTAAAGCCCAGTCTGTAGTCTCTGGCCCCCCTCCCCAGCAGTCTCTGACCCTGGGAGATGAGTCCCCAGCCAGGGGTGGCCGCAATGGCCCCAGCAATGAGATGGGGGGAAAGAGTCCAAGTTGGGGAAAAGAGGGGCCCACCCCCTCCCTGCTGCCCTGTTTGGGGGGAGGGGGGACAGCATGGCCTAAGGGTCCCCCACCCCCCTTTGCTCCCACTGTTGTCTGTCTGCCTGTTCACCCCACATGTGACTCCTTTCAATTCACATATCCAATAAAGCAAGTGCTCTAATGGGTGAATCTGTGGCTCTTTTCTGGGGTGGGGGGTGCTCACCTGGCCTCACCTGACTCTCAGGAGGGGGGCTGGAGGGGAGGTTCCGGTCCAGCCTTCCTCTGACTGGCTCTGGGGCCCCCTCCCACAGGAGGCAATGACGGCAAAGGGTTGGGGCGCCCTTCCTGGGCTTCCCACCTGCCCCAAGAGGAGACACTGGAGTCCTGGGCCTCACTGGAACATCTGCCAGTTAAGGTGATCCCCAGGAAGGACCTGGGCAGCTAGGGTGCGCCACAGTCTCAGGAAGACTCATCTCCACCAGTTCAAATCCAGCCTGACATTTACTAGCTCTGTGACCTTGGGCAAGTCACTTCACCCTGTTTGCCTCAGTTTCCTCATCTGTAAAAGGAGCTGGTGAAGGAAATGGCAAACCACTCCAGTATCTCACCCACGATGGGCTCACAAAGAGTTGGATGGGACTGAAAAACACTACCAGAAAGGACCAGTAGTGCCCTCATTTTACAGATGTGGAAACCGAGGCACAAAGGGCTAGAAGGTTGCCCAGCAGTTGGGGCTACCCACTAGCTGTCTGTTCCATCCCCCTCACCAGCTTTGTCCCTCCTTCACCCACGGTGCCCAGAACAGGTGGTAACTAGTGGGGATCGACATCCACCCTGATTGCTAGGTCCCCAGGGCAGGCTCTGGCCTTCCCTGACATGGGACATGAAGAATCTGGGCCTATTCTGTACGTGGTTACATTCTGGAACATGGAAAAAGGCCAAGAGGCCCCCATGGGGAGGGAGGGATTTCAGAGAGGATGTTTGTCCAAGGCCTGGAGAACTGAATGGACTTGATCGAGTCTAGGCCAAACAAGGCTGGAAAGTTGGCAGGTCAGTGCCAACTAGCTGGAAAGGCCTTGAATGCCAGGATTAGTGTGAGAAGCATGGTGTCTGGCAAGAAGGTGGCCCCCATGGCCCCCACCCCTGGTCGGGCCACCCTGGAGAAGTGCATTCACTTCTGGGCTGCCCATGCTCCCAAAAGAGCTGGAGAGGGGAACCCCAAGATCGGCGACAGGGCAGCCATTAAGGCTCTCCCAGGGCGTGGCTCAGCCGTGGGGCTGCAGTAGGTCCTCCATACATGACTCGTGGATTTGACTATGTAACTACAAGAAAGGGGGAAACCAAGTCCGGGGGCCCCAGCTGTTGGGGAGGGCAGATGCCGTCTTTTTCAGCACCTCTTCAGGGGACATCTCTTCCCACCCCTCCCCTCAGCTCTTCCTGGCCAGCCGCAAACGCACGTGAAAAGGCCCGCCAGCCCCAAATCTTCTGCGGCTTCTGTGGAAAAATGGGGTAACAATGTAGCGACGTGGGGCCCGCCAGCCAATGGGGAGATGGAAGCCTCGCCAAGTCCCGCCTCCTCCCGTCAAGGGACCTATCCCAGCGGCAGCTCGGGCAGAGCCGGGCCCGCCCCCCGCCAGGCCCCGAGGGGGTGGAGGGACTGGCCGAGCCCCGTGCATTCTTTAGCCGCCTGTTGTGTACCGGGGATGGCACAAAAGGCGGCCCAAGGCCGTCACTACCCTCGACTCAACAGGCAGCAGATGTGGATAAATAATTTGCAAGCGAAGGGAAGCCTTCCTATAGGGGGAGGGCTTTAGGAGGGGCAGGACCGCCTGGGGTCACTCGGTGAAGAGGGCCTCGAATGCCGGACAGTATGGTGCAGCGGATGCTGGAAGCCATGGAGAGCCTCGGCAGTTCACTGGGGGAGGGGTGACGTCGTCAGGTCTGCGTCTTAGAAGCGCCGCCCATAGTAACAATTAGGCCAGGGGTCACTGAACATCCCTGGGCCTGAGTTTCCCCAGCTATCAGTGACCTCTTTAGATTTCAAATCCCCACCCTCTCCTACTCCTCCTCTCAGTTCGGGCCGGGGTGCCAGGGCCTGTGCTCTCGCCCGCCACTCTCCGGGCGCTCAGACGGCAGATGACGTCACTCCTAAGGGTGGGAGCGCGAAGGAGAAACATCCGGGGCCCACAATGGCTCCTCCCCCCTCCTCCCCCTCCCCCTCCTCTTTCCTCATCCTCTCTCTCCCTACCCAGACCTTAGTTTCCTCACTTGAAAATGAGGGCATTAGGCATCAATCACCCTTGCACAAGGTCGGGCGGATCCCCCAGGGAGAGAGCAGAGGGGGGAAGGGCGGGGCCTGCCCCTTCTGTTCGCCTGTGCCCCCCACCCCACAGCCGACCAGGGCCGAGCCACACACCCGGGGGCCAGGAGAAAGGAGGCGATCGCCTTCCCCTCCCCCGCGCCGCGGGAAGCATACAGCTCTGGGCAGCTTCGGCAGGCGGCGCTATTGCACGCCCCTTTGTAGGCAGCACCGCCACGCCCCGCAACTCCCCGCCCCGCGAGGTATTGTGGGCGTCCTCCACTCATCTCGCCCCCTCCCGATTCAGCCCACGGCCGAAGAATCTTTATCCGAAAAACCGCGCGAGGACCGGGTCTTCCGGGGGGCCAAGGCGCATGGGCGAGATCCGCCCTCTCTTTCTCAGGTCACGTGCAGAGGTTTCCTTCGGCGCGCTCGGTCCTCTGGCTGTGACGTCACCGTGTTGCATTGTGGAGGTTGTCGTTTTCCTTTGGACTGGCCCCGGGCAGTGAAGGAGGGGCGAGAACTCGGCTTCCCAGAAAGCCTTGCGGGCGGGGGGCGGGGCTGTCCCATCCTCGAGGCCCAAGATGGTGGCTGCCATTCCGGGGAGGTTTACTTTCCCCAAAGCAGGTCTCAGAGTTCCGGCCCAGCCCAGCACAGTCCTACCTCGGTTTCCCCTTCTGTAAGAGGTGGGGCTGGGAGCAGTGACCCCCCCCAGCCCACGGCCAGCGTGGGGGGCCCTCGTGACCCGAGCCTCAGTTTCCCCCACTGTGACCGACCCTGGTCTGGGTGTCAGTTTTTCACCTGTTTCCCCATCTGCACAGGCGCTGCTCGCTCTTCCCCCAACTACAGCCGGCAGAGGCCGGGACCAGCACGAGGCCCCCAGGCCTCGCACAGCGGCCCTGCGGAAACTGAGGCCGGCACCCCGGGTGGCCGGCGATGGCAGACCGTGGGGGCGGCGACGCGTCGCTGGGCCTGCTGCCGGACTGCGAGGCCATGCCGTCGGACACGGGCTCGCTCAGCGACTCGGACTCGGACTCGGCCGGGCTGTCCCCGGGGGAGCCGCCTTTCCTGGAGGAAGCGGCGGACTCGGAGGACGAGGAGCCCCCGCAGCCCCCCGGGAGCCCCGTGCGGCCCTTCCACCTGCGGGGCATGAGCCCCACCTTCTCCCTGCGCAGCCGCAGCATATTTGATGGCCTGGAAGGGGTGGCCCGGACCCCCGCGCCCCCCGCTGCGGCCCCGGAGACCCCCGCGCCCGACGCCGGAACCTTCAAACGGCCCCTGCCGCCCCCCGGCCCCCCGAGGAGGCCCGTCCAAGCCCAGGTCCCCGACTACGTGACCCACCCTGAGCGCTGGACCAAGTACAGCCTGGAGGACGTCCCCGAGGGCAGCGACCGCAGCAACCGAGCCGTGGCCCTCGAGTTCCTGGGGAGCCTGAAGAAGAGGGTGGGGGGACAGAGCCCCGCACCCCAAGAAAGCTGCGCCCCCTCCTTCAACCAGGATCCGTCGAGCCGCGGGGCTGGCAGGATTGTGTTCACCAAGCCCGCCAAGGCTGGCGAGGCGAGGCCAGAGCGCAAGCGGACCCCGTGGAGGGCAGATGACAGGGAGCCCGGGGACGAGCTGGTGGCACTAGGCCACCTGGGCTCGGCAGGGGGCCCCGACGTAGAGGCCGAGGGAGAGGAGCCCCCGAGGAGGCAGGCGGAGCCCCAGGATGCTAACATGCAGGAAGAGGAGGCCGCCCACCTGGAGCCCCCTGCTGGACCCGTGGGCTTCCACAGCAGCAGAAAGAGGAGCAGAGATCACCTCCGGCTCAAGGGGACTTCAGAGGAAGAGAGCGAGGAAGCCTGAGCAGCCACTGGTCGCAGGGGATCCCTCCAGGACAATCAGCCTCCCAGCACGCCATGGAAATGCCTTCCATCACTGGACAGCTAATCCTCCCCCAGTTGTACCAGGCTGAAATGGCCTCCTCTCTCTGCCTTCCAAGCTCGCTCTGTTGTTGGGGAAGAGATCATTTGGTAGTAACCAAACTAAATACTGTCCCAGCTGAAGGGAGAATGCCCCTTTTCTTGAGGCATGGAACACTGATGGTCCTGGTCACTTTCCTTCATTTCCTTTGGGAAATGAGGTGGGGCCTCTTGTCTGTCAACCTCCCCAACCCCTCTCGCTTGGTTTGTCCTTGTGAAGACAATAAAAAGTTTCCATGAAGTCTGGTCCTCTTTGGTGTCTCCCTGCCTACCCAGCAGACCGTTGGGGGAGGGCCCAGGGGCTCAGCAGACTCCCACAGGTCTGCCCACTGGCCGACCCAGCCCAGGCCACTTTCCCTGCTTCCTTGACGTTTAAGGCTCTTCCCTCACTCCCCTGACAGAAGTGAGCTCCCAGCCTTACTTACACTGGGGTCTTCTGCTAGAGCAGATGGTACAGGGACAGAGGATGCCCTCAGCACTGGCAGTGGGGGTCACCCAGGCCTTGCATCCATCCTTATGCACACGTGTCTGGGTTTTATTCCCGGAGAGACCTCAGCTCCTGCCCTCCACAGGGGTGGCCCCAGGCAGGTGTTTCTCTGAGGGGGACACTGGGCCTTAAAAGCCACTGTCTTCTGCACAGGAGGAAAGTACAGTCAAGGGAAAGAACATGACACCAGCCAGGGTCACACAGGTGGAATGGGACCCAGGTCCTGGGCAGCCATCTGCACTGGGGCCAAAGAGGGACTGCGTGTGGGGTGGGGGGCAGGCCATGGTGCCTCTGATTGGCCACCGCTGGTTCTTTCCCTCCCTCCCCGCATGCTTCCAAGGCCCTCAGCAAAAGAGAGAGGTCTGTTCTTTGAGTGAAGCCTGATTCATGGGGCCAGGGTCCCCAGCCTCGTGGGGAAGCTTCCCTCATCAGGGCATTCTCTGGGATTTCTTTGTTGTCAGTTCTCTTTCAGGGCCAAGGAGAGAAAGTCACAGAACAACACAGAATTTGGGGAGTTCAGAGGGACCTCGGGGGCTGTGTAGTCTAGCATATATCCAAAAGCAATCCCATGTATAACCTACCTTATCAGCCATCCTGCTATGCTCCCAGCTCCAGGCAGTCAGTGCCCAGGGGTTCCAGCTGAGCAGGAGGGGGAGGGGAGGGAGACCACCAATGGCAGGCAGGAGGGGCCTGGTTTTCTCAGGCCCCAGTATCTGCTGCTCAGTGTTGGCCTTTCCTTGCCTTCTGGGACCTGTGTTCACATTGTCTCGGAGCTGGACAGGCCAATAAGACCAACCCATACTGACCAAAGATTTCCTGACAAATGGTTGCCACCTCTACTTAAGACCCCCCAGTGGGGGGAGCCCACTGTCCCCAACAATGGCCCACTTACCTTCCCCCCCCCACCCCAGTCTTCATTGAGTGCTAGGGGGTAGTCTAACCCTCTCATTTCATAGAAGAGGAAACAGGCACAGAGGGAAGGGCCTTGGCAGCTGGGGTGGTCCAGGACCTCTGTCCCTGCAGTAGGGTGGTCTAGGGGCAAGTGTGGGAACTGGCAGCCTGGCTGGAGCAGGCTCACTGCTAGCTAGGGCTCAGTGCCGTGGTTCGCTTCAAGGGGTGCTGGATGTACGTCCTAAAGGGTTGTAATCCTATTAGTGCAGGTTCTCTAAGGAGGTGGAGGAGGAAGGCCAGGGGTGCTAAGCGTGAAAGGGAGTCAGCTTTGCCAATTGCCTTCCTGGCACTGTGCCTGCTGGTCAGGGAGGGCTCCAGCCACTCGGGAGCAGGGGCTGGGGGGTGGGGTTCCCAGAAATTCCATTTAATCAAGGGGCATTAATCCAAAGGCTGTCAGGGAGGGGCAGTGGAGCTGCCAGCCTCTCCAGGATGGAAATCAGACTGATGGCTCTGAGGGCTCACATGCTCATTTCTCAGGACAGTTGGACAGGGTTTTGGCAGGGAGGCAGTGCTCTGAAGGGAACTGAGTCTGGTTTGGACTTGTCTTCCAGGAAAGGATGGACTGACTTCTGTGGCTAGGACACTTTGAGGGGTGCAAGAGAAGCTGCATGACCCCTGCCCTCGGGGAGCTTATCCGTGTGTTGGAGGTGGGGGCAGAGGACAGCAAATCGAGGGGTTCCAGAATTTTATAATGCTTTGTAAACAAGTCGTTTCATCCTCTTAACACCTTGATCTGCTGCTCTGTGCTCCTTGGAGCCGGCAAGGTCCTTGTGCAAGAGGGAGGTAAGCAAGTGAACCTAAGGAGGTTTGAGTTTCGGGAAGGAAGCCAGGGGTTAGGGGTAAGCAATCATGTCACCCCTGCAGGCAGTCTTGAACCCCAAGTAGAAGAACCCACAGGGAGGATTGAGGGTGGAGGCACATTTTGGGAATTCTGGGGTGCAGGCCCCCAGGTTCTGAAAGCCTGAATCTGCCGTGGGTGGAGAACCAATAGGCTTTGCCTTGGAAGTAGAGGCCAGATTCGGAGAAGCAGGCCCTTTATGTATGCACTGTTCTCAGGTTTTGTCCAATTCAGTGAATGGACAGAAAAATGTTTCCTAGTCACCATCATGTGAGTGGATTTCAGGCAGCCCTTCCTGCCCAGAAAGGCTGCTGTGGGTATCTGCTGTCAGAGGAAGGGGGCTGAGGGCTGGGGAGCGTTAGGGCTAAGCAGAAGTGAGAAGCAAGAGGGTTTCCCATCGCTGGACCCTTCTGGCCCTCAGGCCACCGGAGATGGAGTGTTGTCTGGGTCCCTTCGTATCTCTCGGGCTGCCACTTTGTCAGAACCTTGCTATGCTATGATTCCAGCTTCTACCAGACAATCGGGGGGGGGGAGCTCCAAGAAGCTATAGCACCCACATCTCGGTAAAAACATCTTAGCAAACGGGCCAAACCAACAGGCCTCAAACCCATCAGGGGGAATGTCTACCTTCTCTGTTACTGTGGAGGGTAATACCATCCTTCCACCCCTCAGACACCTAACCTAGGTGTCATCCTGGACTCCTCACTATCTTTCACTCTCCATGTTCAATATGGTTTCAAGGCCTATGGATTTCACTTCTGCCACATCTCTAGATTTCACCTCTACAGCATCTCTGGTCCATTTCACCTCTGCAATATCTCTTGTTGATTTCACCTCTGCAGCATCTCTGGGACACACCCCCTTTTATTCTCTATCGCTCTCCCCCACCCTGCTGCACACCCTCATCACCTCATATCTGGACTGCTGCAATAGCTGCTAGGAAGAGGGGTCTTCTGCCTGCCATGAGTCTCTCCCTGCTCCAGTCCATCCTTTGTTCAGCCATTAAAGTAATTTTCCTAAAGCCCAATGTCACTTTCCTACTCAGTAAACTCCACTGTCTCCCTATTACCCCCAGAATCAAACACAAAATGCTGGTTGGCCTGCAAAACCCTACATAACCCACCCCCTCTTCCAATCTCCTTCCACCTTTCTCCCAAATATGTACCTTTCAATCCAGCAACACCAGCCTTTTGGCTGTTTTCCCAGCTCCAGGTATTTTCAATGGCTGTCCCCCATGGCTAGAACTGAAATTTTCTTTCTTTACTTACCAGACTTAATGAGGATGAGTAGAGATCAGGCACTTCTGACTCTTGGCTTTTCTGGCATCCTTCTAGTCTCAACTAAAACCCCATCCTCTACAGGAAGCCTTCCTTGACTACTGCACTGCCCCCTGCCCCCCCCCCCATGTTAATGCTTTCTCTCTAGTGATGATCTCCAATTCATCCTTGGGTCTGTAACTCATTGGTACAGTTATTTTCATGTTCTTTCTCTTCCATTAGAGTGTAAGCTCCTTGTGGGCAGGGGCTATCTTTTGCCTTCCTTTGTATTCCTCACTCTCAGCAGGCGCCTGGCACACAGTAGGTGTTTAATACTTATTGAGTTGACCTGACTTGACGAGTGGTCATTTAGTTCTACTTGAAGACTTTCAATGAATGTAAGTCTACAACCTCTTAGGCAGCCCAGTGTAACTTGGGACAACTCTCTCTCTTAGCAAATCTTTCCTGAGTTTTTCCAGAGTTCTCATCCCTCTTGCACATGACAGGTCTTCAGATACCCAAAGACAGCTCTCATGTCCCCACTAAGTCTTCTCTTTTGAGGCCTCTGTCAAACCCTCAGTCATATGCAGTTGCTGGGTCTGGAGGAGAAGCAGAAGAGAGTCTCAGACCTACCAGAAAAGCAGACCATAAAGGTAGGAAGAGCTAAGATCTGGGGCCCCAAATCCTGGCTGTGGGAAGACTAAGCTAGAATGTGGATGTGGGGCCAGAGCCACAGAGGCAGATACTCCAAGATCTTGAACAGAGAGGGGCCAACCAAAGGACACAGGTCCTGGATGAGTGAAGAGAAACACTCTAGGAAAGATGTGCTGCATGGCAAGGGGCTCACGAAGATTCAGTATAGACAGAAGAAAACAAAAAAGCTCAGGAGAGAAGCAAAAGAGCCATTTTGCTATTTCCCTTTGAAATTTAATATACATTTTAAACAGCTGTGCCTCAGGAGATCATGGCTTCAGCTATAATCCTTTTTTGCTCTTTGAATGCTAAAATACTCGTGTTTGTTGAAGTTCTCAGTACAAAGCAAGTTAATTTTAAAATTGGAAAAGGAGAAAGATGCCGGTAAATTTGACAGCAAACGCTAAAAGCCATGGAGTGACAGGGGAGGTTCAGGGCTCCGACTCCACACCTGCACGGGACCCGTCATCTCTCTTAACTCTGCTTCTTGGACTGGAGCTGCCTGACTGCCGATCCTGCTCATGAAGACTGACAAGTGAAGACAAAACTGCTAGATGTGAAACGTCACAGGCTGGAGAAACTGTCTTCTCCAGGTGAAGAATATGCGTCAGCCACAGCCAAAGGAACGTCAAGGGCTGGGAGAGGAATTTGCCCTCCTCCTCCTCCTTCACTGCTGTTACCTGGGGGCAGCATCGGAGAGAAAAACGGAATTTGGGGTGGGAGGATTCGGGGTTGAGCCCCAGATCGGTCCTTGGTAGCTGCGTGATGCAGAAATGGTGCGCGCTTGTTAATCATTGATTGGGTGAGCCACTTAACTCCCCTTGTCCTCAGTTCCCCTATCTGTAAAATGAGAGTAATGCCATTCCCTCCCAGGCTGGTTGAAAGGGCTTTGCAGAAATTGGAGATGGGGATCCCTGGAGGGAGGGGCTGGACTATATGCTCACCAAAGAGCCCAGCTGGGCGGAGGCTGAGGGGCTACAGCCTGAGCTCTCATGGCCCCCCCAGGAGCTAGGTGTTTGGGTACGAGGTCCCCTGGGCATGTGGGTCCAGAACAGAAGCAGAGGCCCCAGCCCAGCTGCCTCTGGCCCTGGGGACCAGCGCCTCCCGTGTTGGAGCCCACGGTGGCTTTCTCCCCAGACCCTGATGACCATAATGCCTCTGCTCCTGGGCAGTAAGAGAGAAGGTCCAAAGGCCTCTCTGGGCTGAGCTCAGTCAGAAAGACCGAGCTCTGGCCAAGACAGCGGAGAAGAGCCTCTAGTCCTCTTTTTACAGAGGGGGAAACTGAGACCCAGACAGGGGAAGGGAGTGAAGATCCCAGAGCTAACAATCTCAGAGCCCTCTCATGCCCAGGTACCTCATGGTACCAAGAAGCAGCTAGGTGGCACCATAGTGCACAGAGTGCCAGGCCTGGCGTCACGAAGACCTGAATTCAAATCCAGCTTCAGACAGTTACTAGCTGTGAGACCCTGGGCAAGTCATTTCACCCTGTTTGCCTCAGTTTCCTCATCTGTCAGATGAGCTGAAGAAGGAAATGGCAAACTGTTTCAATATCTTTGCCAAGAAAACCCCAAATTGGGTCACAAGGAGTTGGACACAACTGAACACAACAACTAGGGGGCAGCCGTTCCAAGGAGAAGGAAAGGGCTTTCCTGAGGCCACCTGGAGAGCTGGTATGAGAGGCAGGCCCAAGGCTCGTGCTTCCTGACTTCCCTTCATGCCATGTGGGTCATAGGTTCAGCATCTCTTAGGAGGAGACAGCTCTTAGGCCTGTGCTCACTGGTCCCACCCCCATCCCTCCAGGCTCATTCACTGCTCCCCTGGGCACAGAGGGCCGAGGCCTCCTCCCTGCCATTCTCAGTCTCTGAACACAGAGTGGGCAGGCTCGACGTCCCCGTTGGACAGAGGAGGAAACTGAGGCCCAGAGGGGAGAAGACTGTCCCAAGGTCACACAGCGAGTCAGTAGCAGGCAGGGCCCTCTTCCCTCAGCTTTACCTGCATAGTTTGGTGGTGGCTGGCCCTCCATGGAGCCGGCCCGGGTTAGCGTGTCCGCCACGGTAGACAGGACAACTGTGCAGCAGTTGATCTGAAATACAAAATTGGATACGCAGCCCCTAGCGCCGGCTGGAAGCCCTTCCCCGCCCTCCCCTGTCTGAGCCCTCACTGCCCCAGGCTGACCAGCTGGCCTCCCCAGCCCTCTCTCCTCCCCCCAGAGTCCAGAACCAGATCTTTACTTGTGACTCCAGAGCCCAAATGCGTTTCTCTTGTTCTCTCAGGCCCGCCACGTGTTGGCTGATGAAATCCACCCTATGGAAAAACAAAAAGAGACATGTTTCCAGGAGCCAAAAGGAGAGGCCTTTCCCGGAGGGGCTTCTAGACCCCTGCCAGGCCAGTGACGGGGAGATGCAGGGCTGGAAGGACCCTCACAGAGAGATCCTCTGATACAGACCCAGCGAGGGGAAGGGTGGGTCACCTTCTGCAGAATGATCTCTGAGGCTTACCGGGCCCTCTACCTAAGCAAAATGCACTTTGGGCCTCTTCGGGCACTTTCTGACCTACAGAGATACTGTGGTGAGATACTGACCACTGCTCACTTCGGACCTCAGTTTCCCTCCATACACATAGTCTTTAAAGGTCTTGCCAGTTGGGATGGGCCATGAGCTCCCCTGGGGACCGGAGCCATGGGCTTGAGAGAGTTTCCTAAGGAATGGGCCTCTCAGACCCCGGGGGCTGCCAGCCTCTGTCTGCCAGCCTGTTCTGATATCCCCCTGGTGAAGGGTTTGCAGCCATGCTGAGCAGTAATTACTCACTTAAGAGCAGAGAGTGAGGCTGGCCCCAGTCCATCAGGAGATCCGGCCAAGCAGAGCCATAGACACACTTAGGTTTGTTCCCAGGAGAGGGGAAGGAGACACCCAGTCATCACAGCCCTCGCACCCAGCAGGCGCTCTGAAGCCCCTCTCTGGGACATGGAGCTTCTGAGGTTAGCCCTGCCTCAGGCTGCCAACTGTCCTTTCCCAGGCCCCTGACTGGGCCAGGTCACCAGACCTACTTCTTGCCCCCAAAGGGGCACGAGCCCCACACGAGAGCAGGAAAAGATCGAATCTAGATGTCTATGACCACATGAGTCCAATCTCCTCATTTTGCAGATGGGAAAACTGAGGCCCAGACGAAGGAATGGATTCACTCAAAGTTGCCGAGAGGTGGATTTGAACCCAAGCCTTCTGACTTCAATTCCAATGCTGTCCCGTGACACTGGCAGGTCACTGGGATTCTCAGAGCCTCAGTTTCCTCATCTATAAAAGATGGTGATAATCTTTGCGCTACCTACATCAGGGGGCTCTTGAATAGAAGGGACTTTGTGGCCCTTAAAGTTTGGGGTGTAGAAATGAAAGGGATAGGGCCAACGCGAGGGACCCCTTCGGTGAAGGGGCAGTGCAGTGTGGTAGACAGGGCATTCTCCTGGAAGTCTGGCAGGCCTGGCATCCAGTCCCACCTCCGACACTTACTGGGGGGTGACCCAGCAAGAAGCTTTTCCCAGGCCCCTTTGTCCTGCCCCTATCTTGTCCCATGTGCTTGTTTGGACACTGTCTCCCCCCCCCCCACTGGGAACTCTGAGGTGCCTAACAATTGCTCACTAATTTGACTTAACCTGCAAAATGAGGGGGTGGATTCCATGACCTTTACGGTCCCTTCTGGCGCCAAATCTATGATGTTATGAAATCACAGATGTGGCTGAAAAGCCCTCCTCAGTCCCTCCTTTTGTTATGGGGATGATCCTTGGCTCTAGGACATGATGTCCTAGAGTCCGAGCACAGGCAGCTCCAGTCAAACGGGAAAGGCTTGGAAGAGGCCCGGCCCAAGCTGGCTGAGGGCAGGGGGCAGAGGCTCACCCCCAAGGAAGACCAATGGCTGAAGTCCCAGAAGAGCTGGGACAGACCCTCAAGGTACCAAGTTCAGCAGGACTGTGACCCCTCCCGGATAAGTGAGCACCTCAACCCTGTTCCAGACCACCAAAAGGCTGGCTGGGGAGCACTCTGGGGGCCAGGGAAAGCTCTCTGCCTTCTCCGCATGAAGGCCTGGCCCTCTGGCGTTTTGGGGGGGCAGACTCCTGCCAGCTGGGGGTCCCAGTGCTGAGTCACCAGCCGGGCCGACCTTAAGGACAAGGAAGACGGTACGTGGTCAGGAAAGAAGGATCACAGGGGCTCTGCCACCCTGTTGGGGAGCCCTGAGTTTGGGGCAGCTTCCTCAGAACCTCAAGAAAGATGGGGACAGAGACGCTCACCTGTGGGACATTTTTTTTAATGTTTCCCTGGTACTTTCTTTTCTCCTTTTCTCCAGATTGGCCAAAAAGTTTTCCTTCTGGACTGTTTCCCAGGTGACAATTTTCTGATCCAAGCTGTCAGGCAAGTCTCTCTCTAGGTGGGAAGATTTGGGGTGAGTTTCTCAGAAGGAGAAGGTAGACTTGGGGACTGGAAAGTAAAGCAAGGATGGGGGAAGGCCCTGGCCTCCGTGGCAGCAGAGTCCTGCAGCTGCTCCGGCCCTGGGAGCGACAGAGTGGCAGAAAGCTTCTGCTCCAGCACACTGAAGCGTCAGGCCTCAGAGCTGGGCAGAACTGTGCCCAGTGCCCCGAGGAGCACATTCACACTCCCTCTGTCTGTCTCTCTGTCTCTCCCCGCCTCTCTTTTGGTGTCTTTCTATGTCTCTGTCTCTCTTTCACTCTCTCTCTCTCTCCTCTCTGTTTCTCTCTCCCACCCTCTGTCGGTCTGTCTGTCTCTTCTCTTTTGGGGCTCAGCCCACGGCAGGTGTTAGGAGCCATTTAGGGCCTGGCTTAGCCTTACACCCACACCCTCCATATAGCCCCAGCCAGGGTCTGTCTGTGCCCAGCCTGTGCAGCAGCTTAGGAGCCACTGCCAGTCAGGACGGGCAGGGCTCCATGAGCATCCTGGGAGCAGGGGTAGTCAAACATCCTCTGGGCACTTCCTGTCCCCCCCACCCCACTGTGAGGAGGGCGAGCACCTTGGGAGCCTGGGAGAGCCAGCAGGAGGCCGGGAGGAGGGGTGTCCCTGGCCCATGGTTCTCCTTATGGCTCTATCTCCTATTGCCTAGGCCTTGGCCAGATTGGGATGGGGGTAGGGGATCTGTCTGCTGGCCCTCCCCACCTCCGCCCCAGCTAAGGAGCCTCAGAAAGCCCGATTCTCTCTCCCTGGCCAGGCCTGGCCCCTCACCGAGGTGTTCCCTCTTATGCTCTTGCTGCTTAAAGGCCCTTTTGAGGATGAGGCTGAGATGGCTGAGCAGAATGAAGGGTGGTGCCAGGGCAGGGCGCTTGTGGTACTCCACGATGAGGTTGTAGCGCTGGAACTTCCAGAAGATGTCTGCATTGCCCTGGACCACTTGGAAGGTGTAGCTTAGGCAGACCCAGCAAGACATGCTAGTCAGCAAGAAGGCTGAGCCGCCACCAGTGGCAGCAGGCCCCTCTCGGAAGCCCTCCCTGCCGCCTTGTCTGTAACACCAGTAACTGACCCATCCCTGGCCTCCCACTTCTCCTTTGCTGACCACACTCCTGCTAAGCTGCGGATGGCCCCCTCGGGCTGCCTCTGCAGCCTGGGGTTTGTACTTTGCCCGGAGCCTCAAACACCTTGGCAGGGCTGTTCCACCCCCCCCCCGGGTGTAATAAGGCTGGGTGGCTCAGGGATGGTGAGACCAGTCCTCACAGTGTCCCTACAACAGCCCCCTCAGCACAAGGGTTTTTATGCCCATCCACATAAAAGGAAACTGAGACTCTGAGCAGAGATCCTCCGGGGAGCTCCTCACATGGCACCACCCAAGCCTCTCTGTGATCATCCAACTATGGCTGGTGTTTACAGGGGCTGAAAAGTCTGCCCAACACTTGAGTCACATTCTGCCCATGTAGAGATGGAGAAACAGAGAGACAGAAACACAGAGGGAGGAGAAGGAGACAGAGACAGAAAGTAGAGAGAAGAGGAAGGATAGAGACAGACGTTAAGAGACAGAGACAGAGAGAGAGGAGGAGGAAGGGAGAAAGGGAGACAGACAGACAGACAGACAGAAACACAGAGGGAGAAGGAGGAAGAGACAGAGATAGAGACATAAAGGAGAGAGAGGAGGAGGGGGAGAGAGAGGAGGAGGGAAAGAGAGAGACATTAAGAGGCAGAGACAGAGAGAGAGAGGAGGAGGAAGGGAGAAAGAGACAGACAGACAGAGAGAGGTGGAGGAAGGGAGGAAGGGAGACAGAGACAGAGACAGACAGACAGAAACACAGAGGGAGGAGGAGGAGACAGAGACAGACAGAAAGGAGAGAGAGGAGGAGGGATAGAGAGAGACAGTAAGAGGCAGAGACAGAGAGAGGAGGAGGAAGGGAGAAAGGGAGACAGACAGACAGAAACACAGAGGGAGGAGGAGGAGGAAGAGACAGAGAGAGAGAGACAGAGACAGAGAGACATAAAGGAGAGAGAGGAGGAGGGATAGAGAGAGACATTAAGAGGCAGAGACAGAGAGAGAGGAGGAGGAAGGGAGAAAGGGAGAGAGGCAGAGATAGAGACAGAAAGAAACAGAGAAGGGAGGAGGAGGAGGAGACATAGAAAGGTGTGAGTGTGTGTGTGAGCGTGTGTGTGTGAGTGTGTAAGTGTGAGCTTGAAAGTGTGAGAGTGTGTGTGCGTGTGTGTGTGTGTGTGTGTGTGTGTGTGTGCATGCGCATGGCCCTGAACTTGGGGGTGATGGCAGAGGGGTGGGAGCAGACTTGAGCAGGCCAGCTCCCTGCCCTTGGGGAGCTCTTGGTCTGGCTGGGGAGATGAGACACATGTGTCTTCTGAGAGCCTCTGGTCTGAGCCTGGGGGCTGGGGAGGGAGCAGGGCTGGTGTGAATGGGAGGCCAGTGACAGGAGGAGGTGGAGGATGAGGAATGGGGTCTCCATGGGCATGAGAAGGGAAGTAGCTGAGGGGCCCAGAGAGGGAAGGAGGCTTCATGTGCACCGGACGTGGCCCAGATCAGACTGGCCCTTGGGGGCAAGGGAAGTTGAGGTGGGGGCTGGGAGCGGAACTCCTTAGCAGATGGATGGGACAAAGAGAAAGGAGGCTTGGGGGGAGCATGAGCAGGGGCTGTGCTGGGAAGCTACAGCTCGAATGTCACATCGGCAGATTGGGGGTAGCACTGAGGCAGAAGGGCCTCAATTTCCTTATGGGTAACAAGGAGCTCGAGGGCCATCCCAGCTCTAACATTTTGAGGACTGGGGAGGGGGGTTCAGTGAGACACGGGCTTCTGCAGGTCCTAGCTTTGCCACAGACCAGCTCTGTGACTGTGGGCACTGGGAGGCTAACCTTTACTGCCAACCTCAAAGGGCTGCCAGAAGCCGGGATGTGAGGCCACGTTACACTGATTTCAAGGTTCCTGCGCTCTCCCCGGTACAGAGGGCATACTCCCCATGTTCTGGCAGGTGATCTTTGTCCCTGGGTGGCCAGCTCCCTGGTGTCCCTTGGGTAGCCCCTCCTCAAAGCCTCTCCCGCTGGGAGGGATCTGCCAGGCACCCTCTCCCATCTACACCCTCCCCACCTGGGCCAGGTCTGAGTCTTTTCTCTCCTGTGAGGGACTATTGGAGGAGAATGTCCTTGGAGGTCTGTTCTGTCAGGCCCTGCCATCACTGCTGGTAGAACTTAATTAGAGAGAGATCAGGGAGGGCCACTGCTCTCCTGGCTGATGGGGTGAGCAGATGGGACCTAGGAATGGAGTTTAACAAGGACCGAGTATCCCCAGGCTCCTGCTCACTCTCCTGGGACTAGGAAGAACCTATGGCCCCTCACTCCATCAGGAGACCCTCCCCAAGCTGAGGGGACAGGGTCCGGGACAGGCTGGGCCCCAAAGGCCTCACTCACCTGAACATGGCAATCAGCAGGTTCATGAGCAGCACGTTGGTGACCAGCAGGAAGGTGACCAGGAGCAGGATGACCAGCCAGTTGGCGTAGAGGTTGGGGCACGAGGGGGAGTTCTCCAGCAGCAGGGGGTGAGTCGAGCAGTTGACCCGAGCCTCTGAAACCAACACATTGGCCCCTCGCTCTGGCTTCTTACTGTTCATTTGTTCATTCATACCAGCCTCACACTCTGCCCTTTCTTCATCACAACCCCACCAACGATGGAGGACAGGGAATTCCCACCCTCCTCGTTGTACACACGAGGAAACAGTCCCAGGGCCACAAGTGCAGAACGTCCCAGGCAGCACCCTGGCTGTAGCAGACAAAGCGGGGTGGGTATCTGCCTGACTGCTGCCTAGCCTGCTCACCAGGAAGCACTCTTACATGTTGCCAGTGAACTTCTGGGAGCCACGATGGTGGCAAAAGCAGTAAATCACTGTAACTCTCCTATATTCACCTCCAAGCACCCCAAAACAAATCCTGGAACAGCAGAACCAGCAAAAGTATGGAGTAAAACAATCTTTGAGCCCAATAAACTTGGAAGATTGTCAGGAAAGGTCTGTCTCACTTAGGTAAAAGGAGAGCACATTCCAGGACAGGAAAGCAAGCCAACAGCAAGCCCCACCTCAGCAGATCAGTGGGAGATCCTGAGCCCCAGGGTGATGGAGGTGTCACCAGGACCTCCCATGGGCCTCAGAACAGTCAGGGGAATGAGCAGACTCTAGCTATGAGAACCACCACATGCTTCAGTGTAGCCCCGGGGAAACTCAGAAACACCCCATGGGCCTCAGCACATGCCAGAACCGGCACTAGGACCCCGCCTCAGCACCAAGAACACTGCCAGACTTCTCCGGCCTCCAGCAGCACCAGCCACCCCCCACACAACCCCCTCAAGGCAGCACCAGACAAACAGCCAGGGCCTGCAGTCCCTGGCACAAGAAGTCTGAGGCAATGCCCCTTCCACCCTGGGAGCAGATCTTGAATTTAAAAGAAAAGAAAAAAGGGGAAAAAAAAGATAAGCAAAAAGCAACAAAAAAATAATGTGACCATAGAAAGTTGTGGTTACAGGGAAGATCAAGACACCAACTCAGAAGAGGACAACAGTGTCAAACAGCTATGGGCAAAATCCCAAAGAAAAACAAGAAAGTGGTCTCAAGCCCAGAAAGAAGTCATGGAAGGGCTCAAAAAGGAGCTTAAAGTCATATATGAGAGGTAGAAGAAAAATTAGGAATCTGAGAGATGAGAGTGATGCAAAAGAATCATGAAAAAAGAGTCAACAGCTTGGAAAAAGAAAACAGCTGCTTAAAAAGTAGAATACAAAGTAGGAGATATAAAAATCCACTGAAGAAAACAACTCCTTAAAAAGTACAATTAGTCAAATGGAAAAGGAGGCACGAAAGCTAAGGGAGGAAAACAACTCCTTAAAAATTGGAATTACGCAAGTGGAAGCTAATGACTCTATAAGATGTCAAGAATCAATCAAACAATTTCAATAGAATGAAAAAATAGAAGAAAATGTAAAACACCTCATGGGAAAAACAACTGACCTGGAAAATAGATCCAGGAGAGACAATATCAGAATTACTGGACTACCTGAAAGCCATAATCAGAAGGAGGACCTGGACAGCATCTTTTAAGAAATTGTCAAGGAAAACTGCCCTGATGGCCTGGAACCAGAGGGCAACACAGGCTTTGAAAGAATCCACCGATCACCTCAGGAAAGAGATCCCAAAATGAAAACTCCAAGGAATATTATAGCTAAATTTCAGAACCATCAGGTCAAGGAAAAAATACTGCCAAGTAGCCAGAAAGAAACAATTCAAATATTGGGGAGCCACAATCAGGATCACACAGGATTTAGCAGCTGCAACATTAAAGGATCAGAGGTCATGGAACAGGATATTCCAGAAGGCAAAAGAGCTAGGCCTACAACCAAGATTCCCTTACCCAGTGAAATTAAACATGATACATCGAGGGGGAAATGGTCATTCAGCGAAATAGAAGGATTTCAAGCTTTCATAAGAAGAAGACAGAATTAAACCAAAAATTTGATCGCCAATATTAAGACCCAAGAGAAGCATACATAGGTAAAAGGGGAAAAGAAAACATGAGGGATGCAATAGAACTAAACTGCTTATATCCATACATGGGAAGATGATACTTGTAATTCTTAAAAGTTTCATCACTAATAGTACAGCTAGAAGGAATTTACAAAGACAGAGGGTATGGGTAGAAGGTGAATGTGAGGGAATGACATAAAAAATAAAGGATGAGAAAGAGGAGTACACTGGGTGCAGAAGGAAGGGAGAGGTAGAATAGGCTAAATTATTTCACATGAAGAGGCATGAAAGACCTACTACAGTGGAGAGGAAGGTGGTAAGGTGGGCGATGGGCATCACGTGAACCTTACTCTCATCAATATCGGCTCAAAGAGGGATAATATACACAATCAGTTGAATATAGAAATCTATCTTACCTGACAGGGAAGTAAGAGGGGAGGAGATTAAATAAAGTGGGGGGGGCTGACAGAAGGAATGGCAGATGGGGGAGGCGGTAAACAGAAGAAAAACACTGGTGAGAAAGGAAAGGGTGAAAGGAGAAAGAAGAAAGAGAGAAAAATACACAGTTAGCAATCATGAGTGTGAATGTGAATGGGATGAATTCCCCCATAAAGCAGAAGTGGATAGTAGAGTGGATCAAAAATGAGAATCCTACAATGTGTTGCTTACAAGAAACGCATTTGAAGCTGAGAGACACATACATAGTATGTACTGCTGCAGAAGTATCTGCTATGCTTTGGTTGAAGTAAAAAAAAAAAATAGCAGGGGCAACAATCCTCATCTCAGACAAAGTAAAAGCAAAAATAGACCTAATTAAAAGAAATAAGGAAGGAAATCACATCTTGCTAAAAGTACTATAGACAATGAAGCAATATCAATGCTAAACACACATGTACCGAGCGGTATGGCATCCGCATTTTTATTATCGTCATTATTATTATTTTATATTTAGTTTTCAACGATCACTTCCATACATTTTTGAGTTTTAAATCTTTCTCCCCCTTCCTTCCTCCCCTCCCCAAGACTGTGCATAATCTGATATAGGCTCTACGTATACATTCCTATTAAACATGTTTTCACATTAGTCATGTTGTAAGGAAGAATTAGAACCGATGGGAGGAACCACCAGAAAGAGGAAACAAAACGCAACAGAAGAGAAAAAAAGAGCAAATAGTACAGCATCCAGATTCTTAAAGGAGAAGTTGAGTGAGTTACAGGAAGAAACAGAAAACAAAACTATGTTAGTGGGGGATCTCTACTGTCCCTCCTTAGAACTTAATAAATCCAACCAAAAAATAGACAAGGAAGAAACTAAAGCTGTAAATAGAAGATTAGAAAAGTTAGATGTGACAGACCTTTGGAGAGCGGGAACAGAAAGGAATATATCTTTTTCTCAGCAGCATATGGACCCTGCACAAAAAATGATCATGTTTTAGGGCATAAAAACTTCAAAATCAAATGTAGAAAGGAAGAAAACTTGAATGTATTCTTTTCAGATTGTAACGCGATAAAATTACATTCAACAAAGTGCAGTGGAAAGACAGATTAAAAATTGGGAACTAATTCAATCCTAAAGGATAAGTAGGTAAAAGAACAAATCATAGAAACAGGATTTTCACTAAAAATGATAACATTTGTTCTCTTCTGTTGAGTTTTGTTTCCTCTTTCTGGTGGTTCCTCCTATTGGTTCTAATTCTTACTTACAACATCACTAATGTGAAAATATGTTTAATAGGAATGCATATGTATAGCGTATGCCAGATTGTGCCATCTTGGGGAGGGTGGTGGGGAGGAAGGGGGAGAAAAAATTTTAAACTCAAAAGCATACGGAAGTGATTGTTGATAAATCAAAATAAATTAATTTTAAAAAATGATAACAACAACATACCAAAATTTATGTGATGCAGCTAAAGCAGTACTTAGGATAAAATTTATTTCTCTAAATTCTTACATCAACAAAATAGAAAAAGAGCAAATCAACGCATTGGGCATGCAACTAAAAAACTAGAGAAAGAACAAATTAAAAATCTTCAATTGAGCACCAAATTGGAAATCCTGAAAATAAAAAGTGTGATAAATAAGACTGAAAGTAATTTTAAAAAACTGTTGAGCTAATAAGTAAATAAATAAATTGAGGAGAGCTGGTATTATGAAAAAACCCAATAAGATGGATAAGCCATTGGTTAATTTGATTTAAAAAAGAAGGAAGAAAATCAAATATCCCACTATCAAAAATGAAAAGAGTGAAATCACCACCAATGAAGAAGAAATTAAAACAATCATTAGGAAATATTTTGCCCAATTTATGCCAATAAATCTGACAATCTGAGTGAAACCTGGTTAGGTACTAGTAACCTAGTGTTTGATAAACCCAAAGATCTCAGTTTCCAGGATGAAAAACTCAGTATTTCACAAAAACTGCTGGGAAAACTGGAAAACAACAGGGCACAAACTAGGTATTGACCAACATCTCACACTGTATTCCAAGATAAGGGCAAAGTGGGTGCATTGCTTAGACATAAAGGGTGACACCATAAGCAAATTAGATGAGCAAAGAATAGTTTACCTGTCAGATCTATGGGAGGGGAAGATTTCATGACCAAACAAGAGATAGAAAGTATGACAAAATGTAAAATAGACAATTTTGATTAGATTAAATTAAAAGGCTATGGTGCAAAAAACCCCCCACAGATATATAGCGAACGGAATCAAATTTGTAAGAATGCAAGTCATTCCCCAACTGATAAATGGTCAAAGGATATGAACAGGAAGTTTTCAGATGCAGAAATCAAAGCTGCCTATAGGCATAAGAAGAAGTGTTCTAAATCACTTTTGATTAGAGAAATGCAAATTAAAACAACTCAGAGGTACCACCTCATACCTACCAGACTGGCTATTTTACAAAAAAAAAGGAAAATAATAAATGTTGGAGAAGATATGGGAAAATTGGGACACTAATGCACTGTTGGTGGAGTTGTGAACTGATCCAACCATTCTGGAGAGCAATTTGGAACTATGCCCAAAGGGCTATAACACTGATCCAGTAATACTACGCTAGGTCTGTATCCAAAGGAGATGGTAAAAAGGAAAAAGGACCCACATGTACAGAAGTATTCATAGCAGCTCTTTCCGTGGTGGCAAAGAATTGGACATTGAGAGGATGCCCATCCATTGGGGAATGGCTGAACAAGCCGTGTTACATGAATGTAATGGAATACTGTTGCACAATAAGAAACGAACGGGCACATCTCAGAAAAACCTGGAACGACTTACATGACCTGAAGCAAAGCAAAATGAGTAGAGCCAGGAAGACATTGCACACACCATCAGCAACATTGCGTGATGATCAGCTATGCATGACCCAGCTCTTCTCAGGGACACAATGGTCAGACAAGTACAAGGGACTCATGAAGGAAAATGCCATCCACACCCAGGTAGAGAACCTCGGAGTCTGAATGCAGCTCAAAGCATGTTCTTCTCGCTTTACTTTATTCTTTCTCATGGTTCTTCCCCCTTTGACCTGTTTCTTCTATGTCAACTGTGACTAATATGGAAATATGCTTGACATGATAGCACATGTGTAAACTGTATCCCACAGCCTACTATTTCCAGAAGAGGGGAGGGGAGAGAGGGAGGGAGAAAAACTGGGAACTCAAAATCTTGTAAAAATGAATGCTAAAAATTGTCTGGACATACAATTGGGAAAAATAAAACACCATTAAAAATAAAAGTAAAGTTAGAACAACAAAACAAAAGCCAAACACGTCGCCAGCCTCGTGCTGATCCGACTGAGCCTTCCTCAGATCCAAGAGCCTGAGTTTGAAACGCAGTCATCAAGGAAGGTCCGCTGCCATTTACAGGGCATTAATGTTTGCAAATCACTTTAGGGACTCAAGCTCCCCGGAGCCTTAGGGTGGTCTTGGGAGGGAGGGGCTAGTTTTATCCACATTTTACAGAAGAAGAAACTGAGTCTCAGAGAGGTCACACAGCCAGCAAGGGTCTGAGGTGGGGTTCTCGTCCAGGTCTCCAGAGCTCTCTGCCCCCTAAGCCACACCCATTCTCAGTTTGCAAACCAGACTCTTTTGCCCAAATGGAGGGCGGCCACTCCAGGGACTTTCAAACCTTCACTCCAGGTGGGGTTTTACTGGGCACAGCAATGGCTGAGCAGGGAGGGGACAGGAGACAGACCATCGGGTCGGAGGCCCACGTTGTACAGATGAGGCCACTGAGACTCAGAAAGGGCAGGGCCTTGCCCGAGGTCACACAGAGTGTCACTGGCCCAGCTGCGTCCAGAACCAGATGCCTGCATTCCCACTCCAGAGTTCTTTCCAGCACTAGACGCCGCTGCCCACCACAGGGTGTGTGAGCACACGCGGGCATGGGCGCACATGTGTGTACACGTATGTAGGGGGGCGTGCAGGGGCAGCCGGCGCATCTGCTGCTGATGGACGGGTGGGAGGAACCTTTCTCGGAGCAGTGAGGCCAGCAGCCCTCGGAGCACGGATCAGCTTCGGCAGAACTGATTGATTGCCGGCCCCTCTACACCCCGGCCCCTGGGAGGAAAGCCGGAGACAGTTTGTCTTGAAAGCAGAGTTTGTGAAGCTGTAAATTTGCCTCTTCATAAACGCAGGGTCTGAGGCCAAGGCGGCAGGAATGGCTTCCCTTATGATTGATGACCGCCTCCGTGGGCCCCGGTGACCTCCATCTGAGCAGAGATTCAGCTGTCTCCGCAGCCGGTGCCCGGGCGTTCACCCCCAGCACTGCCCGCTCCTGCCCAGCCCCAGCAGCAACGTAAGGAGTTGGTGGTAGTGCAGTGGATAGAGCCCTGGGCCTGTAGTCTGGAAAACCTGAGTTCAAATCCAGCCTCAGACACTTACCTGTGTGTCCCTGGGCAAGTCACCTCACCTTGTTTGCCTCAGTTTCCTCATCTGTCAAATGAGCTGAAGGAGGAAATGGCAAACCACTCCAGGATCTTTGCCAAGAAAACCCCAAATGGGGCCACGGAGAGTCGGACATGACTGAACAATAGGGTAGCGGACAGATGGTGGGCACCTGGGGATGGAAACAAGGGAGGTCCCTCACCATCAATCTCATCCAGGGGGATCTGCCCGAACATTTGCAAGTAGGGCCTGTAGAGGACCCTCCGGAAGATCCACTCCAAGCGGCTGTCTCTGGGGTGGAGCAGGGCTTGCGTGGTGACCCCATAAGCAATGAGCCACACGGTCAGGAAAAAGAGAAAGAAGAAGACGTCTTTCATCTAGCAGGAGAGATAAAGTGGTTGGAGGGGCGGGGCAGGGCCCCAGAGCCCCGCCCGCACCCAAGGGCCACTCATCCCGCAACTTTGACCGTGGAGGGAGGGACCGGCCTCTACCCTCCGTCATCCAGAGATGGACAAGCCGGCGGGTGACGCGTGAAGGACCCAGATGCAGAGCAAAGTGAAGGGAACCGGAGAATGGTGGAAGCACGAGCTCGGCGCAGTCATTTACGTGGCAGGAGCACAGAGCTAAAGCGAAAACTGCAACGCCAGTGGGGGGGGGACAGGTGGGGGCCTATGTGGAATACTGCTCAGCCCCAGGCTGGCCACGTGCTTTCTCGGCCCCTCCCTTCTAAAAGATCCACTGCTCCCAGAGCTGGGGAGAGGGGAGAGAGATTCAGGAAGGAGGGAAAGAGTCTTGTCCGAAGTCCCAGAGGGAATTCCTGGCAGAGCTGGGATTCTTCATCCCCGTTCTTCCCACTTGCAGTATGTTGGGGCTGGGGCTCCTAGCTGGGCCCAGAGAGCGAGCTCCCACGGGCGTAGGCAGGAGGAGGAAGGGTTTGACCTTAAATCAAGTCAACTAGAATTTATGAAGCACCTGCTGTGTGCCAGGTACTGGGTTTAGCAGGCAGGGAGAGACAAGAACCTATAGAGAGGACAACTAGAAGATACCGGACTCTGAAAGGCACGGACGTTGAGGGGGGTGGGGAAAGACTTCTTGGAGAAGGTGGGGCTTCAACTGAGACCAAAGAAGCCCGGCAGGCTGGGAGCAGAGATGAGGAGGGCACAGCCAGGACAAAGGTGTGGAGACAGGAGATGGAGTGCCGCCTTCACAGAAGAGTGGGAACAGAGGAGCGGTGTCACTGTACTGCAGACTAGCTGGAGGGGTGTCCGGTGTGAGAAGACAGGAAAGGGGAGGAGTCCGGGAGGAGGTGCCCAAAGGGATCTTAGCGACAGCTCCATGAAGGTTGAGCATCTTCGAACCCGTGGCTTTACTACCCTGCATCAGCTGAACTGATCGGGACCTGAAGATGCTCCCGGCACAGCAGGAAGGCGACGACAGACCACTCTCTAGGAAGGCTTCCCTCCCCCGATGTGGTTTTGGAGGGCAGGATTAACTCTGCCTCAGTTGGTACCTAGAGCACCGTGGTGGGAGCGGAGTGGGCAGTGAGCGTGGTCTGCAGGATGGACTCGGGCGGATTGAATCCTTGCAGTCAGTTGGGGTCCTGCTGTGCCTGAGGGTCTCTGTGCCTGAGGGTCTCTGTGAGCAGTGCCTCGGTTTCCCTCAGGTTGGGTTCTCACCTCCTAGTCCCTGGCTGACTCCACAGCGTCCCCTGGGGTTAAGGAGGAGGTATCTCTCCACCGCCTTGGCACTCCCGAGGTCTCCAAAGAGGAGAACTCTAATCTCTTACTGTCCATTACCTCCCTGGCCGGCGGCCAGGGAGCTGTGGGCCGAGCCTTGGAGAAGAGCAATTCATTGTAGGTGGCCTCCTTCCATGAGTCGGAAAGCGTGGGCTTTTACAGGAAGTAGCTTCGGGTCACTGAAGCACAGCCTCCCAGAGCTAGGAGGGTCCCCAGCCCAGCAGGTAGCTGGTTCAACCCCCTCGAGTCTGAATGGACAAGTGGCCCTCCTTTCTCTGCTAGAAGCCCTCCAGCGACGGGGAGCTCACTGCCCCACTCCCAACCTCCACTGGACAGCCCCTTTTTTCTCTTACATCAAGCTCAATATACAGAACTCTAACAATAGGAGCTGCCTGGCCTCTCGAGGTGATGGCCCCCCCTGGGGAGGCTGGGTGAATGCTTGTTAGAGCCCTGGCAGCCAAGGGTAGACCCCCTCCTGTTCTGAGACCCTAGGATACGAAGAAGCCCCTGAGGCACCCACGACCCACTCACCATCCTCCCCACAATGATGATCTTGGGCCCCAGCTGCTTGTGAATGGCGAAGATGTGAATGAGTCTTAGGGCAAACACCATGAAGTCCATGGCCAGCACGGTCCGGCCGGCCTCGAATGTGGAGCTCAGCATCCTAAGGAGCCCGCAGGGGGGCAGGGGAGAAGGAGGACGGGGCTCTTAAGACCGGGCGGTGCCCACTGGCTGAGCTGCCAGGAGGGGGCCCAGGGGACAAGCAGCCCTGAAGACCCACCTGCAGGTGACACCCACAATGAAGAGGAAGATGGCCACCATGTCGCACTTATTCCAGTTGTCCTCCACATATACCTTGAATTTCTTCAGGAGGTTGCTGTCTTCATCTGTGAAGAAACCCTAGGGTGGGAGAAAACACTAACTGCCATGGCCGTGGGCCCTGGGATCTCTGCCTTGGGGAGGTTCCCCGATTCCAAGGCATACTGGCCAAGCCAACCCGCCAGATTAGGGGCAGGGGTCCCAGCCAAGGACCAATCTGCAGCCTGGGTCAGGGCTCAGTCTGGAATCAGATTCGAGATACAGTGATGTGCCCAGGGTCACAGAACCTGGATTTGTCAGAGGCACTCAGACCCTGGTGCTGAGGGCAGCACTCTGCCCCCTAGACCTCCCTCCCTCGTTCAGAGGCTCCTAGGCCTGCAAACCAACTGACCGTTTTCTCTGGCCGTCTTCCTGGCCTGGGAGGCTTTCCCTCCACTCAAACTTCCCTGATCCCCCTTAATTCACTGCCTCACCGTGGGGGACATCTCCACCATAGGGGACATTTCAGGGGGCATCTCCCCCATGGAGGGCATCTTGGGGGACATTTCCACCATGTGGGCATGTCCCTGTGGAAGCATCCCCAGTGTATCCTGTCTCTAGCTTCCTCATACATGGTTGTCTCCCCGTTAGACTGGGAGCTCCCCAAGGGGAGGGCCCCTCTTCCACTTTTCTTTGTCTCCTCAGCACTTAGCACAGTGCCTGGCACATAGCAGATACTTTGTCTGTGCTTGTTAACTGACTAAGTGACCTTATATCTCATTCCATCCCCTCATTTGACAGCTGGAGAAACTGAGGCACCAAGCAAGGAAATGTCATGGCCAAGATCCCACAGTCAGTGGCACAGGTGGGACAAGTCTGTCCCTGGGTACTCACACACCCCTGCCTCCTCAGGGGAACCCCCCAAACACACACACACACACACACACACCCTCCCCCCTCAGGGGAACCCGGCCAGTCACGACTGACCTGCCGGACTTCCTCGAGCACCAGAGTGAAGACCCAGAAGTAGAGGGCCACCTCGGGCCCCGAGGGGCCTCCTGGAGGGGGCTGGAAGTCCACCAGGAGCACGTAGGTGAACAGGAAGAGAAAGGCAAAGTACATGACCATGTTCCCCAGAAACACGGTCACGGGAGCCCCCCAGAACTTCTTCCACCGGGACAGCAGGAAAGGGCTGGCCTCGGCCCAGGCCCCCCCAGCCCTCCTCCCTTCTGATGGCTCGTCCCTCCTGCGCAGCAAAGACAGGAAATGATAAAAATGTCAGGCAGGTCTGGGGGCAGGTGCAGAGAAGCTCTTTGCTGGGTGGGTGGCTGGGGCCAGAGGCTCTACCCTTGCCGCTGCCCTGGCACCTGAGACTGCTGAGAGGTGGAGGTGGGGAGGCAGCATGCTTGCAAGGGTCACAGAGCTGGAAGAATCCATCACATCCGACACCTGCATTTTACCGCCTTTACTGAGGTCCAGTGGCATGCTATGACTCTCCCACGGTCACCCAGCTGGTAGGTATTTGGGTTGGGATTTGAAGCCCCATACTCGGATGACAAGGTCAGCATCCTTCCCACTAGCCTCTCTTCCCTCTATGGAATCTTCCCGGCGGAAGGGAAGTTCCTTGAGGGCAGGGACTATGCTCTGATCTGCCTCTGTGTCCAGGACCAGACCCAGCACGCAGTCCCTGTTTACTCAACACTGGCCAGTTTGGGTCGGGTCTGGCCCTCCTGGCAGGGCTGTCATGGGGAGCCCAGTCCTGACCTAGGTCAGCAAAGAGTGGCCAAAGGCTCTGCGTCCCCGTGATTCCGCCGGAGCTTGGAAGATTGGAAACTGAGGCCTGGGCCACCCCTGAGGAAATGGGGAGGCCTCAGGAGGAGCCTCTGCCCTCGTTGTCCCGGGGGTCCCCTCCTTCTGCCCGCCTTATCTCCCAGCAGGCCTCCCCCAGGCTCCTCCACCCCCAGGCCTGGAATCCCTCGCCCCACCTGATGCTGGGGGAGGAGAAAAGCAGCAGCTTCTCTGTGTCCAGGCTGTCCAGCTCTCGGAAGGGCTCCAGCCTGCTCCTCAGAGGAAGCTCCTCACTGTAAGAGACCCAGAGCAGGGACATCGGGCCCAGGGTTTGGGGTCCTCTGGAGCTGCTTCCTGAAGGCCGGACCTGCTCTGGTGACCCCTGAAGCTCCCCCAATATCCCAGGGGTGGGATGTGCAAGTGGGCAATTCAAGCAGCAGTTCACAAAGCACCAGCCAAGGGGAAAGAAAGCACCATGCTAGGCACTGGGGAGCCGAAGGCTCCACCCTCCAGGAGGCCAAGAGGAGGGATGAGATGTGGACCCCAGGCAGCCCCACCCCAGGCTGGGGGGCAAAGGGGAGAGAGGGGGGAAGCAGGGAAGGACTCCGGGGGAGGGGAGAGGCATTAGAGCCCTTGGGGTCAGGAGAGAGGGAGAGAAGGAGGAAGGGGGGAGGGAGGAAAGAAAAGAAGGAGAGGAGGAAGGGAGGGAGGGAGAAAAGGAAGAAAGAAGGAAAGAAGGAAGGGAAGGCGGGGGAGGAGGAGGAGGGGGAGGGAGGAGAGAAGGAAGGGAGATGGGCCCTCCCCCTCCCGCAGTGACGTGACCCGGGAGGAGGGCCGTTTTCAGTAGGTGCTCTGCGAGGGTGCTCCAGCCGCGGCCTCCTGCCGGCTCCAGTGACTGGCTCAGGGAATCGAGGCCGGAAGGAGCCCTTCCTTCCTGTCTCCCGATTTGCTCCAGGCTGCCCGTGGGTGGCGTCTTGGCCTCCTCTGTAGGCCCGCTGGTCCCCTTCCCTCAGGGCCTTCTGAGATTTCTCCTCTGCCTCTCCCCTCCCCCCTCCCCCCAAGGGAAGGGATGGGTTCCCCAGTGACTTTGGCCTTCTGGGCTCTGCAAGGCCTGCACACCTTGGGTGCCATCCTACCTGAAGGTAATCAGGTTGGTGTAGATGAGGAGGGGGCAGCAAAAAGCACAGATCAGCCTCAGGATGGGGGTGCCCGTGGCCATGTCTCCCCACCAGATTTTGGTCAAAAAGGCCTACATTGGAGGGAGATGTTCACCAATAGGACATTCCCTGCTGGGTCCCCATCGCTCCAGTATCGAGACCTTTGTCCCCACACTCTGCGTGTGGCGACAAGTCCCAAGGGCCTTCTGACCTCCAGCCTTTCTGAGGGCCTGATCGAAAGCAGGAGGCTCTTACGGTCCATGTTTGGAGCCTGGGGCCCTCTCTCTGTTACACCCAACCTGCGTAACCTGGGACAAGGCCATTCACCTGCCTGGGACTGAGTGTCCCCAAGTGTAAAGTGTGGGGCTAGCCTGGCCAGCCCTTCTTGCTGTAACTCTGTGATCGTAATGATCAGAGATACCATCTGGGCACCCCATTTTACAGATGAAGAAACTGAGGTCCATCTGGGGAGCAGAGTCTGGATTCTAACTCCTGTGCCACTGATTATGCTGATTTCTCAGTGTCCCTGAATGGTCAGGGCTGCAGGGACCAGAGACACCCAAAGTCCTCTCACTGGCATTCAAGGCCCTCCACTCTTTGACCCTGCCTACCCTTCTAGTCTTGGTTTCCACTCTTCCCCTTCATACCCTCTATGTTCCAGCCATGCTGGGCATTCCCTTAGGCCTGAGCTCTCTCCTTGTTTCTGGCCTGAAATCCTCCTCTTCCTCCTCCTTCCAGGCCAGCCTTTCCTGAGACTTGCCTCCTCCTCTCCCTCCCCCTCTTCAAACAAAGACAGGTGCCCGGGCCACACCCAGCTGAGGACCCAGCAAGAGGGGGCCACCGGAGTCTGGGACCACACGGATGTGCCCTCTTGTACATCCCATCCCTGGGGTGGGGGGGGGGAGATTTCCTCCATCCCGAGGCATCTATGCTCTGTCGCCTTTCTGGCCTCCAGGCAGCCTTCCCGAGGCGGTGTAGGGCTGAAGAATCACCAGAGCTCATAGCTGGAAGGGACTTCAAAGGCTTGGCCCCACCCATCTACAAGTCTCTGAAGTGATGCTAGCAGAGGAACAGAGCCCACCTTCTCCCCCCACCTTCTCCCACTGGGCCCCTTTCCCAGATGAGCTGGCTCACTGGTCAGCAAACCTTCCTGACCTTGCATCACCTTGTAACCCCCAGTTCAACCTTTTGGGGCCAAGCAGAGCTAGGCTGAGCCCCCCTGGGGCCAAGGAGAGCTGGGCTGAGTAGAGCCAGGCTGAGCCCTCTTGCAGCTGATCCCCAGTGGGGCTGAGTGCCCCTGGGGCAGAGGAGAGCCCAGTGGGGCTTAGCCTGGCTGAGCTCTTCTGGGGCCCATCCTGCTGGGGTCTGAGCCCCGCTAGGGCCAAGTAGAGCCAGGCTGAGCTCTCTTGGGGCCAAGCAGAGCTAGACTGAGCTGATCCCCAATGGGGCTGAGCTCTCCTGAGGCCCATCTTGCTGGGTCTGAGCCCCACTGAGGCCAAGGAGAGCTGGGCTCAGCCCCTCTGGGGCCAATTCCCAATAGGGCTGAGCCTCTCTGAGGCCTGGCTGATCCCTCTTCCACACACAGGCTTCATATGCTTGAAGACATCTGTCCTACCTCCTTCCTCTCCTCCCACCCCCTTTTTAATGTCCATGACCCTGTTTGCATTTGTCTTGCTAGGTCAGCCTGCCCACCGGTGTCATTGAGGCCCCAGGCTGCTGAACTGTAACAGGGTCATTGGTGCCCTGTCTGGCCTGGAATACCAGCTGGCTCTTTGGATGCCCCCTCCCTCCTTTCCTCCCTCCCCTCCCTCCTTTCCTCCCTCCTCCTCCCCCCTTTCTTCCCTCCCCTTCCCCCCACTTCCTAATGGGATCTTGGGGTGGGGGAAGGTCAGCTCACCTGGACACCATCGTGGGCAAAGAAGGACTTGGTGTCAGCCTCAGTGGCCAGGTGCAGACAAGTGGTCTTGCTCCAGTCCTGGTTCTTTCTCACCAGCAGGGCAAAGGCTCTGTCCTCACTGTTGTTGTAACACTCACTGAAGAGCTCTGTCCAGGACAGGAGGCAGGGCTCGGTGGCCTGCATACCCAGCCTGGCATCCACCAGCTGCCCTCCCCACATGCTCCACCTGCACACACGTGCCAGCCTGCTCCAAACAGACCAGGACGTACTTGGTTTGACACCCCAGGCTACGCACAGCTGGCCGGGCTGGACTCTCCTCCAGGTTCCCCAGTCTCCTCCTCTCTGGGCCCTTCCACACACCCTAATGTAACACACAGGCTCCTGGATGCCTTCCTTTAGACGCTCTCTGGCTCCCAAAAGGTGGGCCTCAGGACCTGACACGAGTCCAGGAACGGTCTGACTGGGGCAGGCACCGCGGGTGGCCACCTCCCGAGGCCTGGACGCTTCCCCCTCCAAAAGCAGACTAAAATCGCACATGGCGAGGCTGGTGGTGACTCTGCCACTCAGGAACACTCACCCAAAGCCAGATGCTCATAATTGGCTTCCTTCATGCTCCGGGCCACCTCGGCCTCGGTCTCCAGGTGGGACATTTCTTTGAGGATCTTGCAAGCAGCCAGGGCGGCAGCCACACCCTCCTGCCCCTGTGGGAAGGGAGTCAGACTGACTGCATAAACCCCAGGAAGGATACCCCTTCCCAAGCCACACCTTCACCCCCTCCCTGAAGCCTCAGTCCCCCATTACCAGCTGCAGGCTGGAGCCTCCCCGAGGGGAGGGAGGAAGAGAACAAATATTTATTAAGCACTTCCTGTATGCCAGATACTGGGCTAAGTCCTCACAACAGCCCTTGGAGGTAGGTGCTGTAATTATGCTCCTCTGACAATTGAGGAAACTGAGGCAGACAGAGGTCAGTAGCTTGCACAGGGTCACATAGCTAGTCAGTGTCTCAGGCTGGATTTGAACTTGGGTGTTCTCCACTCTCAGCTCAGTGCTCTGTGCCCTGTGGCTCCACAATGGAGCTCCTGCATATGCCTCCTCAGCCTTCCCCTCTCCCAGGTTTGCATCCTCAGTCAGCCCTGACTCTTCAGCCCAGTTCTCCGTTCCACCCCATTGGGAAGACTTCCCCTACAGCATCTGTCCTCCCTTTCCTCTGCTCCCCCGGTAGAATCTCAGAGCTGGAAGCTTCCCTTCCCCAGAGGTAGGAGGGGGCCAGCCAGCATGATCACTGAGCCCCCCCCCCCCCCCCCCGTCCCCTGGCTGAACATGATCTGTCCCTTGGACCTCCTGCCCAGCCCCCTCCCCAAGTACACCTCTCAATGCCGTTCCCATGTTCTGCCTAGAACTGTTGTTAGCTGGGGACGAGGATATCTGAGTCTCACGACCTTTCCTACTAATCTGTCCACTCCCTGAGAGAGAGATGGAGAAGCAGACACACACAGGCCCCTTTGCATCTCATGGAGGGCTGGGTCTGGTCCCCTGGCAGAAGGAGTCCTGGGTTGGAAATCAGGAGAGCAGGCAGGATCAGCCCCATCTACGCCTCACTGTGTGACCTAGACTGTCTCTGTCTCTTCTGAGCCTCAGGGCTCTCCTCTGCCAAATGGGTTCCTCACCCTGGGATTCCACCCCTGTTCCCTCAGCCTGCCCCTCGTGGGCCTCTCCCACATGGGGTGAGGGTGGGGTGGGGGAGGCCAGAGTCTGCCCTGGCCATAGACATTGCCCAGGCTGAGGGGAGGTGACCCTCCCCCAATCTCCCCACCCCCAGCCCAGCTCACCCACCATGGTCCAGAAGTAGTTGGCCATCTCGTGCCGATTCTGGAGCACAGCCCACAAGAATAAGTCCCTCCAGGGTGCCGTGCTCCTCCGGGTCAGGTCCAGGGCCCACTTTGGCCCACCAAGGCGCTTGGTGGTCACTTTGTCCTGGACAGAAGAATGGACAGGGCTCAGGTGCTGACAGTTCAGGGCAGTGACCACAAGGAGGGAATCTGAGACCAACCCGGGGCCCCCTTCGCCCCCACAGAACCCTGAGCTGACGGCCTCTGTCTCTGCTAGGCTATAAGCCCCATGAGGGCAGAGGCTGAAGCTCAGACGTGAATCCCTAAATTTAACAGCAAGGGCCTGGGGGCAACCTGGCCTATCCCATGCCAGGAAGGCTGCCCATCGTGACTTTCCTGGGGGAGGGCCATCCGGCTTCTGACTGCAGACCTCCAGAGAGGCAGAGCCCAGCATCACCCAAGGCAGCTTTCACTTCTGGTCTGCCCAGCCCACTGCCAGGTACCTAGCAAGCCTTTAATAAGTGCCTAGAAAGTGACGGTAAATTCTGAGGCTGAACCTCGACGTGGCGTTTACACCTCTTACTTGGGAGGAAGTGGGGTGCTGTGAAACGGCCCTGGACTGGGGGGTCCAGAGACCAGGGCTCCTTGCCCCTGCCTGGCCATGTGTCTCGGGTAAGCCTCGGGCCCTCTGCTCGGGCTGGGTTGATGGCATCCGAGGGGCCTTGGAGGGGGCAGGCTCAGGGACCTCCCCGCCCCCGGCCGTGACTCACAGCCCTCCTGCAGCTGGCCAGCCTGTTGTCCTGGTAGAAGCCCCGGCAGGCATCATGGAGGAAGTCCTTGAGGACGCGGGCCACGTCGTGGAGGGAGAATGAGGGGGGCTCCCCCAGCGGCTCCTTGCCTGGCTGCCCACACCCCAGCCCGGCTAGGGTCAGTTTGCTCTCCTCGTGCTTCCTGAGGAGCAGGTGGAAGAGGAGGCTCTTCTGGGGGACCGCCCGATACAGTTCCTGCAGCCGCCCGTACGTCAGAAAGTCGGGCACGCTGGCACCGTTGTCCACAAAGAGCCGCACGAACTCCGGCTTGTCATTCACCAGGGCATCCATCATCACCTCCTCCAGGTCACTGGACTGTGGGGTCAGAAGGTCACCAGGGACAGAGTGAGGGGTCATAGGGAGCCACAACAGCTCTAGGGCTCTGGGAGGGGAGGAGAAGGAGGAGGAGGGAGGAAGAAGAGGGAGGAGGAGGAAGAGGAAGAAGAGGGAGGAAGAGGAGGAGGGAGGAGGAGAAGGAAGAGGAGAAGGAGAAAGAGGAGAAGAAAAACAAGGGAGGAGGGAGGAGGAGGAAGAAGGGGAAGAGGAGAAAGGGGAGGAGGAGGAGGGAGGAGGAGGAAGATGAACAGAAAAAGAGAGAGGAAGAGAAAGTGGGAGAGACAGGATGAAACATGACTAGAGAAGTAAGGAGAGAGAAAAAGTAGAGGCAGAGATGGAGAGAAGGAGCGAGTGGGTGGTCAGGAAGAGGCTGAGTTGATTCAGGCAGATGGGGGCATCTCTCCCTCCTAGAGAGGGAGTCACAGGGATGCCCGGCCCAACAGCTCCTTCCACTCCTCCCTTTTCAGTCAACAGGAAGTGTGTACCATGTGCCAGGCCAAACCAATCCCTGCCCTCCAGAAGGTCCTATTTGAATGAGAGACACACAGAATGATTAGGTCCACACAAGACAGTACAGAGTAAATGGAAGGTCTGGGAGAAGAAGGCACAGCTTGGCAGTGAGGGGGGAAGAGCACTCCAGATGGGAGGGACAGCCAAGGCAAAGGCTTAGAGATGGGAGTTGGGTATTACATGGGAAAACTAGCAGGGAGACCAGTGTAGCCTGACTGTAGAGGGGGTGAGGGAGGAGGGGGTGGGGAATAAAGGGGAAGAGGTCCAATGAGCGTCCAGCTTGTCAAGAGCTTGCTCTTCTGAGAGGATGGGGTTGGGGGTGTGGAGGGGGGAGGTTGAGGACTGATTGAGAAGATGGAGTTTCCTTGGTCAGAAATGGTGACTATGGCTCCTGACAGAAGAGAGGTTAGGGTCAGAGTCAGGGTCCCAACCGCCATTGGGTGTGGTTCTGAGGAAGCAAAGGCTGCAGGTGAAGCCCACTAAACCAAACCGAACCTAGGAAGGTGGGGATGGGGGGTGGGGTGGGGTGGGGTGGGCCCCCCCCAGACTAGGAGAGGAGCCAGGAAGCCCCTCTTGCCCCTTGAAAGGAAGCGTGAGGTCACAGTGTGAGAGTTGGGAGCCACCTTGATGATCCTCCAGGTCTGTCGGCTGGTCTACAGATGAAGGTGAGTCACCCGGGTGGCCAGGAGCAGAGCGGAGTTGGGCCCTAGGTCCTCCTGCCTGACAAAAGCTCTGTGCCCTTTGCCACCCTTCTCTGTCCATTAGAGAGTGACCTTGATGAGGTTGGTTACCACAAGAAGGGGTAGCCACAGGAAATGGGCTCAGGATGAATACATGATTTAAGGGAGGCTGAACAAGTGGGCTGGACAGCCTCAGGCCAGATAGCCATGGACAGCTCTCCTGTCGCAGATAGTGGCCTGGGAGGCTGCCCTGGTGGGCATGCTAGTAGGCACCACCATTGGCAGACTGAAGGCTCTGCTCACCAGGCTCACTTTCCCTTTGCCTCAACTGCTTCTGGGCCAAGGACCTCTCCGAGGGCTGCTCTTACCCTCCACCCCCCAATACCAGCCTCTCGTTTGAGGCCAGCTCAGTGAGGCTCGGACGTTTGGAATGGGAATGGGAATGTGGCCGGGCTGGAAAGGGACTCTAAGTCATTTCCAGTGAAGAGACAGAAAACGGAAAGGATGGAGACAGAGCTGGAGGCCACGGCCAGACCGCCACAGGCTACCTTCCACTCCACATCCCCGCTGAAGATTTCGCTCTTGGCGATGTCGATGCGGTTCCAGGCCACGGCCAGTTTCAGCTCATCCAGGTACTCCTGGGCCTCCTGGCTGTGGCTCTTACAGGCTGCAGGGAGGAAGAGAATGGCCAGTGAGAGTGAGAAGAAGGGGACGTCAATGCTGAAGTCGGGGTGTGGAGGCCTGTGACCCCCAGGCAGTCCCTAGGGCTGATGAAGGGGGTGCTGGCTCAGGGCACTCTTCAGCAGAGGGCTCTGGGCAAGGCAGATGAGCTAGCTCGAGGCCAACTTCAGAGTCCTAGACAAGCTTGTAGTCTGGTGTGTCACTGGAGTAGCCCTCTCTGGTCCGAGGATCAGCCCCTGCACCCTTCGTGGCCATGTTCTGCAGGTCCAGCTTGGACTTTGCCCCTTGCCTCTGGCTCTGCCACCTTATCCAGCTGCCAGCCTGGGTCTGATATTAAAAACATCTTAGTCTTTGGTTTACCAGTTTCTTGAGCCAGAGACAACCTTTCACACACATTCAGCAAAAAAGGCGAGCCTCTTTTGAAATGGAGGTGAGCAGGAGTCCCCAGAGACCTCATTCAGAAAGGTTCTCTGTCCTGTCCTGCCCCACTATTCCACATGCTTGTAGTGCTGAGTTCTGGACTCAGATTGTCAGGAACACAAGACACCAGGCTTTCGAGTTCCGGGTGTGTGCAGAGGGCTGAGGGCAGGGTTTCTGAGACCCTTGGATCCAATCTTCTTCTTTTAAAGGAGCCTGAGGAGGAGGGGAAGGATGGTCGCTGAAAGCTGTGACCTCCTGGACTGGGGGAGGTCGGGATGCCCACAAAGGGCCTTGATCAAGAACCCCTGATCACTAGCTGAGGGCCTTCAAAGGTCTGTGACCTTCCTGGGATCTAAGGGGTGACTTCCAGGCATTTTTGCCCTTTCCCTGGCCATAGCAAGTAGCTAGCCGGGCTCCCTGGTGAGCTACTCCCAAGGACACTGAAAAGAAAGATTGCCCTGGAAAGGATGTGTCTGAGCCCCTTGATCTCACTAGGGTGTGTGTGTGGGGGGGGTCTCTCTGGCACCAGCCTCCGCCCACCACTATGTCCCCAGCAGGACCCAGAAACCAGACAGAGGACCTGGCTTCCTCTCTCCCCTCTGATGCTTACTACTTGGCAGACTGGACAAATCCCCTTGCTTCCCTGGCCTTGGTTTCCTCTCCTGTAAAACAACAGGGTTGGTCTAGCTGGCTCCTGGTCCATTCTAGCCTTGAGCCTGTGACTGGCAGGGGCCACCAAGTGCATTGGACACTTGTTCTGCGACTCTGTGGGTGACGGCACTTGTCTGGGCTGGTGCCTTGTGCCTTTCCTAGCCCGTGAGCTCCAGGAGGGCAGGAGGGGCCTCATCCCAGCTGTGGGTCTGGGTGGACACCCAGCTGAAGGCCCTGTGCCTGAGAGGGGCTTCCTGAATGTTTGCTGCATGGAGCCTGGGTGCTAGACAGTGCTCACAGTGGGGCAGGACGCGCTCACTGCCATACCCTGCCACCGGGTCATCCCAGGAGCTCAGCGTTTCTCTTGCATCGGGCCGTCATCTTCGCTCCCCCAGGGAGGGGGTTGCTAAAGCTGTTGCTGTCTGACTCAGGCCTGGAGCACGAGCAGGCCATGGAAGGAGAGGAGCTTTGGTCCGCTAAACCCCCAGACTAATTGTCCTCACTTTACAAGAGGGGAAACAGCCCCAGAAGTGGCCTGAACAGTCTGGTAACAGTTCTGCTGCCAGCCAGGAAGTGGCAAAGATGAGAGCCCAACCCAGATCTCTCTCCATGCCTTGTTTGGGGCTCTCCACCACACAACCCTGTCCCCAGCTGCCCGGAGTCTGGCTTGAGGGCCAGACTCTCAGAGAACAGACCACTGCTACCCTGCTCACCACCGCTTTACTCTGGAATCTGGACATAGAGCTAGAAGAGGCCTTAGAGATTTTGGAGGCCAACCCCCTCCTTTTATAGAAGGGGAAACTGAGGCACAGACTCGGACTGGTCCATGCAGCCAAGAAGCATCTGGCCTGAGGCCAAACCTGAGGCTGCTTAGTGATAGGAGGGGCTGACGGGCAGGTACCCCCAAAGGTGTTATGGAGGAGAAAAGAGAATGGCTTCCCGACTCCCCCATGGCAAGCTCCATCCTTACCTTTCACTAGCGCCTTCAAGATGACTGTGTCCAGCTCCTCGGAGCCATCTTGCTCGAAGTCATGGACAGTGAGGAGGTGCTGCTGGGCAGTGATGGCCTGGAGCTGTCAGGGGCAGGAGCAAGGCTCAGGCCAGCTCCTGGGTGCTGGAACCTCCCAAGTGACCTGAGCTTGACTCCCACCAGGGAAGGCTGAAGGTGCTGGGAGTACTGGGTGGGGTGAGGAAACTGAGGCCCAGAGAAGGGGACAGCTTTGCTCAGGGCCATATAACCAGGAAGTAGGAGATCTAGCTGTAGGGGTGGGGTGAGAGCTGGGGCAGGGTGAAGGGCAAGGGATGATTTAGTGAACAGCCTGCCGGACCACAGTTGGGGGATTTCTATTCTGTCTTTGACCCTTCCTAGCTGTGTGGCCACGGGCGAGTCTCCTTCATTTCTCAGAGGCTCAGTCCCCTCATCTGTGAAATGGGGATAGCAATGCCTGCATTGCCTCCTCACAGGTCTGTGGTGAGAATCGATGAGCCAAGGGGTGTCAAGCACTTTAGAAGCAGGACCCTGAGCGATTCGCAGACTCTCAGTCAGGTCCTTCCGAGTCTCACGACGGGGACTCGCCCACGCTAGACCAGGCCCCCCCTCCCAAGGCCTCCCCCCTGGCCGCTGCTGCTCTCAGAGTGGGCGCGCAGCCTCCGTGGAGGGAAGATGCCTCGAAGCTGACGTACCAGCTCCGTCCAGTGGAGGATGTCCTCCCAGGAGAAGTTTGCAGTGGGGAATTTCTCCTTAAAGTGTTTCTCCGTCACTTGGGGCACAATGAGGTGGGGCTGGCTCATCAGGGCTGCGATGATGTCCGCCATGCCGCCTGACCCCGCCAGGATCAGCCAAGGGGCAGAGTTCTCCACTGCCTGGAAAATTTGCTACCACCCCCCAGCCCAAAGGACCTAGTCGGTGGGGAGGGCATGGCGAGGGGGACACTAGCTACACCCAAGGGCCCAGTGGCAAAGGAGCAGCCCCCTCCTTCAAATTCATCCAGGGAACCTTAGTGGGGCTCCGGGAGCCCTCTGCTCAGGAGTTAGGGGAAGGTTGGGAGGGTGGGGGGAAGGAAAATGAATCTGGGATCAGGAGGAAGTCAGTGGAGGGACCTTCAAGCACAGAACCCCCATGCTGGGAGGGGCCTGAGAGACCATCTGGGCTACCCCAGGAAAGGGAAGTCTTCTAGCCCCAGGCTCAACTTCTTACCTCTAGGGCGCATGGGCCACCATTGACCAGTAGACAAAGTACAGGGATCTCAATGCTGCCTTTTCCTGGAATGGGAAAGGACGGTAAAGCTTGGATCTAAGGCTGGAGTGACAGACTTTGCACTGAAACTTGTGTAAGCTTGGGTCCGAGAAATGTTCTGCTGGTTAAAGAAGGCTTGTCTGCAGAAAGTCTTTGAGGAAGCAAGTCCTGGCGAAAGCTAAGTTTGTGACGTCAGGTGCCGGCTGTATGAACAGTTCTGAAGCAAGGGAGTTTTCGGTCTATCTGTCTCTCTGACTCTGTCTGTCTGTCTCTGTCTGTCTGTCTGTCTGTCTCTGTCTGTCTGTCTCTGTCTGTCTGTCTCTCTGTCTGTCTGTCTCTGTCTCTGTCTGTCTCTGTCTGTCTGTCTGTCTCTGTCTGTTTGTCTCTCTGTCTGTCTCTGTCTGTCTGTCTCTCTCTGTCTGTCTGTCTCTCCCTCTCTCCCTGTTTCTATCTCCGTCTTCCTTTCTCTCTCTTCTTCCTCTTTCCGTCTTTCTCAGCTAATGGTCTAAATAAAGTTGATCAGAAGACACAATGAACTCATCCATTCAGTTCATGTCCAGCCCAGCAAGAAGATGGTACCATGCACTCCAGCTTGAGGCAGAGATAAATGTAAGGAGGGGCTCTTGATGTTGGGCTAGCCCGAAGCCCCGGGCTCCTCCTTGGAGGTCTGAGGCTACCAATACGGTCATTGTGTAAGGAAGAGAAGCCTTGCTCACCCCCTCCCTCATGCTGAGGACCAAGCAGAGACTGGATACAATTGCAATTGACCAAAGGAAGAAGTCAGGGAGTGAGTGGCTCAGGCAGACAACCCTGGTGCTAAATCTGGCTTGAATTCCATGGCATCATTTAGAAAGTGCACACCACCTAGTCATACTGGAGATACACAGCTCTTTTTTTTTTCTTTTTTGGTGAGGCAATTGGGGTTAAGCAACTTGCCCAAGGTCACACAGCTAGTAAGTGTCAAGTGTCTGAGGCTGGATTTGAACTCAGGTCCTCCTAACTCCAGAGCTCTAGCCACTGCTCCACCTAGCTGCCCCGACACACAGCTTTTGAAGTACTGCAGACATGCAGCTGAGACTGGAGGCCCTCAGAGCAGCTGGTCTAATCTGTTCATTTTACAGAGAGGGAGGGACACATGTTCAGTGCCCTGCTGCCTCTCCTAGCCCAACTCATCGCTTCCACAAGATCGGACCCTGCCTGAGAGGCCCAGAGAAGACACCAGAGGCTCCAGGTCCCCAGGCTGCGCCACCTTCCTTCCTCAAGGAATTAACACAGTTTACTATACTTAGCAGAAAGGCCATGGGCAGCTGGCAGGGGCAGGAGGGCCCTTCTGTAACACTGTGAATAATTCGGACCTGGGCTAGGGGCAGGGTCTCAGATGGGTCTGCTCACACCCAAATCCCAGCAGAAATCCCTCTTAGAATTCTAAGCTTTCAGGGCAGCTCGGTGGCGCAGTGGATAGAGTACTGGCCCTAAAGTCAGGAGGACCTGAGTTCAAATCCGGCCTCAGACCAAACACTTGACACTTACTAGCTGTGTGACCCTGGCCAAGTCACTTAACCCCAATTGCCATAAATAAATAGAATACAACTTTCTTAAAAAAAAAAAAAAGGAATTCTAAGCTTCCAGGCCTTTGTGTTACTGTGCTACAGTAGACAAGAAGCAGATGTAGCTTGCTCAGGCTACAACATCCTGTGAGTGGACAAGGCAGATTGGGGCTCCAGGCCTCCCTAACTTCAAGGCCGGCTCTTCCTCCACCACATCATGTCACTGTCATCTGCACTGACATCTCAAGCCTCTGAAAGGCTCTGAGTCCCAGGAGGGCAGGACCTGCCTCTTCCCTAGCCAGCCCTTCCTGGCATGGGGCTCTGCTCACCCACAAAGAAGAAGAGGAAGGAAGGAAGCCCAGCCATCCCCAGGAAGCTGGCATCCGAGTGGCTTCTCTTCCTGACCGCTGCCTGTAAGGAGGAGGGTGAGAAGTGAGCCTGGGACAAGGGGCGCAAGGGAGCTCCCTTACCTCCATAGCCCGTGCGCTGCTCTGAGATATGCTTTTCCAGCAGGAGCCTGAGCCTGGTGGTTGGGTCTCCGTGCCCAGCGGCTCTGGCTGAGGCTGGGCCTCTATCCAGCAGGGGGTCCACCAGGATGAAGTGGGAGTGGTTGCTGTCCAAGGAGTAGAGGGTGCCTTGGCTGTTGTCATCCGACTTGTAGGGGATTGGGTTCTCGTTCTAGACTCAGGCCGGCAGCAGAAACAGAAGCCGTATGTGTGAGAGTGACTGGGCAAGGGCAGGAGCCTTCCTTGGCCTTCCAGGCCTGAGTCCAGCACACTGCCCTGCCCCCTCCAGTGGGACATTCTCTGCCTGTTACATTGGATGGGAAGCTCTCTGAGGGCACTGTCTTGGGGGGAAGGGGGCATTAACCCTGAGGACAGGACTGAGCTTGCAGGGCCTGCGCTCTTTACTGGGCCCCTAAGGCCTTGGCTTCCTACACTCAATTACACTACCTACAGTCATTACACTCAATGCCTCCCCTGCTTCTACAATGTAACTGAGCACAGATTTAGGCACACAAAGGGAGCTCAGGAAAAGCTGACAGAATCATCATGTCATAGAGCTAGAAAGAACCCTCTAATTTTCCAGATGAGGAGACTGAGGCCCAGAGAGAGTCAAGAGAGATGGGATGTCGGGGTGATGGAGGGAGCTTTGGGCTCAACTCTCACTTCTGTGTAAGACACTGAGGCTGGAGGAAAGTTTAAAACTCAAAAGCATGTGGAAGTGATTGTTGAAAACTAAAAATAAATTAATATAAAAAAAAGACACCGAGGCTGAGGGGCCCTGGGGAGTCCTGGGGGGCCAGGGTACCTAGGGATGAGAACAGACAGCAGTTGCTGGGGGGGGCCCTCTCAGGTTCTGCTCATTGGCAGGCCCTGCTTCCCTTTACTGGTCACACCCTTTCTGTGACTCCCAGCTAAGGGCTTGGACCCTGTCCATTTTTACTGTGGACAGCACTGCCATCTGCTGGCTATGTCTCTCAACACCTAGGACAATCCATAGAATCCCTGAGCTGACCATGAGATGAGAGGAACACAGAATGGGGCTGTCAGGGCCTAGAGGGCTCTTAGAACATGGAATGGGGGCTAGGAGGGGCTCTTAGAATGCAGAATGGTGGCTGTCATGGCTGGAGGGGCCCTTGGAACAGAGAACATCGAAGGTCACAGCCCAAAGGGGCCTTAGGGGTCTCATTTGGTGAAAATCCCTCACTGTGCAAATGTGGAAACTGAGCCCCACCCAGGGAAGGGAAGGACACCCTGACCTTGTCTTCTCCCCCACATCCAGAGGGAGATGTCCCATATTTTCCCTGCTCCTCCAAGCTAGCCCATCCCTGCCCTAGGAGGCCAGACCAAAACCCATGTCTCGTGTCCAGAGACCAGAGTCCAAAGTCAGGGCCCTTCAGAGTGCCCCACGCCTCTCCTAGAAGAGATTTGCCTTGTTTAAAACTAACTATAGGCAGCCAGGTGGAGCAGTGGATAGAGCACCAGCCCTGGAGTCAGGAAGACCTGAGTTCAAATCTGGTTTCAGACACATAATACTTCCTAGCTGTGTGACTCTGGGCAGGTCACTTAACCTCAATTGCCTCACCAAAAATAAATAAATAAACAAATAAACAAACACACAAACAAAACTATAGCAACTCAGCAGCATCCAGAGTTCCCAGGACAGGAGGCTGATGGACTCCCCGAGGAGAAGAAAGTGACTATGTGGGCCAAATACAGATTGGGATGCCGAGGCCCAAAGCAAGAAAGGAGCTTGCCTAAGTGGCAATTAATGGCACAGCTGGAACACTCTAGACCCCCAGGTTCACTACTATTCAGTGCCTCACGTAGAAGCCTGTTAAAAAATGTCTCACAGGGCTTCATGAGCCTAACTGGGACCTGAGAGATGCTCAAATCTAGCCATTCATTTTACAGAGGAAGAGACTGAGGTTCAGAGGGGTTATGACTTGTGCCCTCGGCACAAGACATCAGTGTATATCAAGGTCATCAAACCCTTCCTTCTGCCTATCTTCCTGTTGTGGGTGAGGGTAACAGCATTTTTCCAGTCACCCAAGTTTGTAGCCTTGTCATCATCCTCCAAGTCTCACTTGGTTGCACTCCCCCTTACTACGCAGAGTCGGTTGCTAAGTCTTGCCAGTTCCATTCCCCAACTCCTCTCCTGTGTATCTCCTTCTTTCCCCTCCCTTGGCCACCACGCTAGGCTGGGCCTTCCTCTCTTCTGATTACAAGCTGGTCTCCCTGCCTCAGTCTCTTCCTTCTCTAATTTGTTCTCCTCCCTGACACCAAAGCAACTTCCCTAAAGCACAGGTCTGACCATGTTTTATGAACCCCAGAAGCTCCCTGTTATTGTTAGAATTTCATACCGTTTCCTGTTGGCATTCAAAGTCCTTCACAGACTGACTCCAGGCCAAGAGCTCATTCCTTTCCTTCAGAAATTCTTTGGGCTAGCCTGACTGGACCTCTCTCCATTCCTCACATGGGACAATCCTCCCAGCTCTGTGTTTTTGCCCAGGCTTTCCTCCTTGTCTGCAGTGCACCTGTCTCTCCTCCCCTCTGCTTCAGAGAATCCCTCAAAGTTCAGCTCAAAAGCTGCCTCCTCCAGGAAGCCTTTCCTGATTGCCTTCTTGTCAGTGCCTCCCTCTCTTCCAAAAATTACTTCATATTTACTCTGTATCTATTTTTATTCATACTTATCTATGTACATGTTGTTTCCCCTGAGTAGAATGTGAGCTTTCGGGGGGCAAGGGCTACACTGTCTCTGTCTTTGTATCTCAAACTCCTGGCACATGGTAGGTATCTACCACAGCAGTGGGGTATTCCTAGGGTCTGTTACCACCCTTCTGTGAGGCACACCCTCAGCCCTCCCCTGACCCCCAGCACATACATGCGCTTCTCCACCCCTGCTCCCAGGGTGTTCCCCTCCATATGGCTTAGCAGAGGGAGGGCATGTGAGTCACTGAATCTCAAGAGCTAGAAGGAACCTTAGTGATCACGCAATCTGGTCTTGTACCCTGCACAGCCTTCTTGACCAGGGATTTCCTCCTTGAATCCTTCCAGTGATGGGGAACTTACTACTTCCCAAGGCAGCTCATTCCATCCCAGAGTAGCTCTAATTGTGAGGAGGCAACCTGTGACTGCCTTCCCTTGTCCCAGCCCAGCTCCTAGGTAGGCTGCTGTCCCCCAGCCTCTCAGTCCTTAGATCCACATACCTGAGAGTTGTCCAAAACCTCCTTGTGCAGGACTCTGGGCAGTGATACAATCCCAATGGTGATCACCCTCACTTTGGTGGATGTGCTGGCCAGAGAATGGTCTCGAACTGCCTGTCCAACATGCCTGGCCAGGCCCACCCGCAGGGCGCTGGTGAATATCCATGCCCCTGCCAGAGGAAAGCCGCGGGAGAGAAAAATGGGTCTGCCCTGCTTTCTGCAGTGGTGAACTCAGACCCATTGGTTCTGATGGCTCTGTCCTCCTAGCATCTAAGCTGTTCAAGATGTAAGATCAAAAGTCTGGAGCTGCAAGGGGCCCCTCAATTTCCAGAGGAGGAAACTGAGGCCCAGACGAGTGGAAAAGAAAGCCAACCAAGGTCACATGAAAAGGGAGCAGGATGCAGTGGGAAGACTGGTGGGCTTGGAGGGCCACTTTGGCATCAGAGTGTGAGGGAGAGAATCCTGGCTCAGCTACTCAACACCAAGGAGGACCCTGGCTGCTTCTCATCTTGGAGAAGGGATTCTCCAGTCAGGCTGAGGTAGCTCCAATGCCCCGAGGTCCCTTCCAGTGTCAGCTCTGGGGAGCTGCTCTTGCCCTTTGACCTCCCTCTTCCACTCTTTCAATTTGTCAGCAAAGTGCTTAGTAAACCAGAAAGTGGGAGAAGAATGAACGGCAGGAGGAAGAGGAGCAAAAATTCTGTGACTATGGACACCAACCTGTGTCAGGTGGCCCGGAAAGGCTGCGTGGGGAATCGTGAAGAGATAAAGTGGGAGCTGGGGAGCTGAGAACATGAGCGGCACTGGCACCGTGCCTGCCGGGGGGCAGGAGTAGCACCAGTGATGGGGAGCTGAGAACATGAGCGGCACTGGCACCGTGCCTGCCGGGTGCATCTGAGCCCACTGAGAGGCAGCCAGGATCACAGCCCTCACAGCAGTCATGCTCACTGAGGGAGCTGGAAGGGCCCACAGTCAGGATTTGAACCCACTGGCCCTGGCTCCAATGGGCACTTTCCCCTCTGACCTTGTTCCCGGGTTTGTGGTGGGGGTGATGCTGTGAGCCCCTTTCCGCTGTCTCCCTCTGTGGCAGCCTCTCCTCTGAGGGGGAAGACTCAGCTACTCGTTTATGAGACTGATGACATGACGAGGCGCCAGGGGATACAAGGCTAGGGGTGGTGCCTCAGAAACTGCGCAGGGCGCAGGAAGCCCCAGTTACATCGTGTCTGCTGTTTACGAGGTACTGGACGAGTATCATCCCCTCATTTGGCCCCCAGGACAACCCTGCGAGGTAGGCGCTATTATTACCCTCATTTTGCAGTTGAGGAATCTGAGGTAGACAGAGGTTAAGTGACTTGTCCAGAATCACTCTGCTAGTTAAGTGTCTGAGGCTAGATTTGAATTTGGGTCTTCCAAGGTCAGCTTTCTGCACCACCACAGTTGCCTCTGTTTTAATGTTTCAAGTAGCTATTTGACATGCTAGCTTTTGTGCTGGGCCTGGAATGACCCTGTCTTAGCCTCAGTCTTCCCATCTGTATTATGAGCTAACAGTGGCACTTACCTCCCACAGTGGCTGTGAATATAGAACGAGATAATCGTAATGCTCTTGGCACTGCCTGGCACATAGAAGGCGCTATGTAAATGATAGCTGTTTTCCTCATCATTGTTAGCAGCAGCCCCAGCTGTGGGATTACTCCAGAGGCTCTGTGCACTAAATGGGGCGCAAACCGTCTTCATCTGTCCCTATGCATGAGCCCTTTGGGGGAGGTTCCCAATCAGGGCGAGGGAAGCTCAGTGGCTGTGCCTAAGAAGGGCCCTTGGGCAGGAAGCTCCATCCCATAGGCCTGGCCCCAGCCAAAAAGGAAATCCTGTCCTCACCTCCTCCCTCCCCCAAGTCCCTAGGGGCAGGAGTCTGGATGTCTAGGAAGTACCATGTGGGATCCGGCTGTGAAGCCCCTGTGTGTGTGTCTGTGTGTGTGTGACTGTGTGTACATGTGAGTGCATGTGTGTGACTGCATATGAGACTGCGTGAATGTGTTACATGTGTGAGTGTGTGTATGTGAATGTGTGTGCACGTGTGTATGTGCTGTGTATGAGAGAGAGCGTATGAGTGTTACATGGGAGACTGTGTGTGCGACTACGTATGCATGTGACTGTATATGTGTGACTATGTGCACATGTGAGTGTGCGTGCATTGTGAGTGTGTGCATGTGCGTGTGAGTGTATGTGAAGGTGTGTGTGCTGTGTATATGAGAGAGTGTGTGTGCGTGTGTGACTGTGTGTGGGGGTGAGAGTGTGTGTACATGTGTGGCTCTGTGGATGTGTGAAAGTATTGTATAGTGTGTGTGACTGTGTGTACATGTGAGTGTGTACATGTGTGTGCTGTCCATATGAGAGTGTGTTACATGCATGACTGTGTGTGCATGTGTGAGAGTATGTATGTGCATATAAGAGAGTGTGCATGTGTGTGCACAGGGGAGTGGGGCCTGCGCTGGAAATATCGATGCCTCTCCTAGTGAGGGCCTGTCCTAGGCAAGGAAGGAAGGGTCTGACCTGTGCTCTGCATGGCCTTCACCAGCCCCTTCCGCAAGATGTTTCGGAGCCAAGGCTTCATGGGGAAGTTCCGCTCTTCGCCCACCAGCGAGATGACCAGGTTGGGCGTGGGCAGGTGCCACTCACTGACCATGAACTCGAAGAGGATGCTGGGGGGCAGGGTGCTGGGCACCCTCAGGAACTGCAGAAGGCAAAAGTGACCCAGTGACGGACCCGCAGAAGGGGCTGGTGCACAGAAAGCCTTTTCTAAACATCAGCTGTCTGGACTGTGCTAGCAAAAATCCAGGGATGGAGGCTGGTGTGGGGCCTGGCCCTGTCCTCAGGGAGCTCCCAGCCTGGGGCAAATGGGGGAGGGAAGACAGGACCTGTGTGTGTGTGTGTGTGAGTGTGTGTGTGTGTGTGTGTGTGAGTGTGTGTGTGTGCGCGTGTGTGTGTGTGCGCGTGTGTGTGTGTGTGTGTGTGTGTGTGTGTGTGTGTGTGTGTGTGTGTGTGTGAGTGTGTGGAAGGGAGAGGAGGGGGCAGCTAGCAATGGGCCTGCAAGATGGGCTCTGCTAGGAAATCCTGGAGAAGAGTAAGGCCTGAAGAGGTTTGTCAGTAATCATAGCACAGCAGACCTCAACGGCAGCTAAGCCAACTGCACCTGGCCAACAGTCTGCTACAGCATGTCTGCCAAGCGGCTGTGCAGCCTCTCTGAAAGCCCTCCACTGGGGGAGGCGCACCCGTTCTTGAGGCAATCCTTTCCACCTTGGTACAGCTCCCGCTGGTAGGGGAGATCTTCCTCAGGCCAAGCCTAAGGCTCGTGGCGATTTGTCCAGTTGTGATTGCTCCAGCTCTGCCCAGCCCATCCCAGCCCTGCTCAGCCCAGCCCTGCCCAGCCCAGCCCAGCCCTGCCCTGCCCATCCCAGCCCTGCTCAGCCCAGCTCTGCCCAGCCTAGCTCTGCCCAGCCCAGCCCAGCCCTGCTCAGCCCAGCCCTGCCCAGCCCAGCCCAGCCCTGCCCTGCCCATCCCAGCCCTGCTCAGCCCAGCTCTGCCCAGCCTAGCTCTGCCCAGCCCAGCCCTGCCCAGCCTAGCTCTGCCCAGCCCAGCCCTGCCCAGCCCAGCTCTGCCCAGTCCAGCCCAGCTCTGCCCAGCCCAGCCCAGCCCTGCCCAGCCCAGCTCTGCATTTCAGCACGCAGGGAACTCATTTGCTAGGGCTGTTTGGCCCAGACAGCTGGGCTCTGGCTTCCTGCTCTGCCCTGCCCCCACTCTAGGCTGGCATTTGTAACCACAAAGGGTAGTGGCCAGGTGCTTCTCTCTCTTCACAGTTCCTGAGGTCTGGCCCTTATTCCCAGATGCCACCACATCCTTTTTTTATTCTTCTCATTTTGAAAAGCGCCATTAAATGAAAAGAAAGGGCAAGGTTTAGACCAGACCCATGCCCTGGAGGCAGGTCTGCAGCCGGCCTGGGGGGAGGGGCGCTCCCAGTTTCTGTGGGGCAGGAATGACTCCAGGAGCACCATGAACACCCCCAGGCCCTCCTGCCCAGTGATTGCCCACCTGTGGGCTTCCTGAGACCCTCCCATTCCTTTGAATCAGGATTTGGCGGCCCTAGCTCCATTAAAATGCAGAGGTCACTTGGGCAGGGCTCCCAGAAAGTTCTTATCCCCCATTCACCCCTCAGTTCAGCCTGCCTTTCCCAGTGACCTCAGTCTCGAGCAAGGACAAGGAGCTAGCCTCGGTTTCCATGGGGTGTCTTCATTACAGTCTTTTCCCCTATCTCTGATTCTGCTCACCCTATCCCTCCCCCTTCCTCCTCCTGGCCCACGCCTTTCCTGCTCTTCTCTCTGCCTTTTCAAATTCTTCTGGGACCAGCCAACACATCCTCTCAGAAGTCTTCTGGGATCTTCTGGGATCAGCTCAGCCCAAACGTGTCCTCCAAACTCCTTAGGCACTCATGGAATCTTCCATGCATGGACATTGAGTCCGAGGCCAGACTGGGCTAGGCTTCTGGCCCTGGGGGTGGTAGGGTAAGGTGGACTAGGTAACCTCTGGGGTGCCCTTGCTGGCCCTGGAAATCTCAGATTCTCTTCAATACTATTGCCCTGGATGCCTCTTCCCAGGGGCTCCAGCACCCACAGGGGCAGGAAGAGGGAGCCCTCTCAGTCTAGATTTACAGAATGAATGAATGAATGAATAAATAAATAAATAAATAAATGAACAAACAAACAAATAAATAAATAAATGAATGAATGAATGACTAAATAAATAAATAAATGAGTGAATGAGTGATCAAAGCCCTGCTCCCAAGAACCTGCGCTCAGGAGTTCCTATGCTAAGAATGATTGAGACCCCAGACACAGAGAAAGGTCCCAGCCAGGAGCCAGCGCTGTAGCTCCCTGTGCTTTGGACCAGATCCTGGTTCTGTACCTTTGCATGTTTCTTTCCAGAGCCAATGAAGTCAATTTCTCCCTGATGATAGTGCCAGTCTCTCCAGCCTTCAGCCTCCTTCTTGCCACCTGCATAGACTGCTGAAGGGTACTTCGGGCAGGGCCTCCGCACGGTACTGGCTGGTTCTTTTTCTCTGCGGGGACAGGCCACCAAGAAAGGAGGAAAGGGAAGGGGGCAGAGGCAAAGGGACCCTGAGGAGAGAGTTGCTCCTGGGTCCTCACCCTTCCCTCCCTCAGAGCCCTCTCTAGAGACTGCTCAGCCACAAGGTTTGTGGAAGGTCAAGATGGTGAGTGGGAGTGGTCCTGGAGCTGAGCAGCCAGAGCCTTAGCTGGCCCTCAGCTACTCGAGCAAGAGGCTGAGACTGAGGGTAGGGAAAGGCTTTCCCACCTACACCAAATCTAATCCCAGGATCTTATGTGGGCCTGAGGGATGGTAGGCCCAGCTCAGGGGCTGCTACCTCCCTGAAGCCTTCCCTGGTCCCTGAGGCTCCTCTGGGAGGCCTGTTCTCTGTTCCAAGCACACTGGAGTGATTTGTGTGGAGATCGGCTGCTCTGCAAAGGCATCTCCCTCCAGCCCTGGGACAGTCCTGCTAAGGTGGGGGGGAGGGCTGGGACCAGGGCTGGAACCAGGGCTGGAAAAGATGCTAGAGACAGACCATCTCACGTTCAAGAGACGTTCAAGAGACGTTCAAGAGACGTTCAAGAGACGGCTGGGGCATCGCTGCCCAAGCTCCCACAGGGCGTCAGTGCTACAGGTAGATCCAGCTCCCAACTGCCAGGCCTCAACTCCCTCCTCTGTGTCACCTAGGCCTGCTCTGGGTCTAATGAGTGACCCCCTCCAGTCCTGCTCTGTCGTCTCCCCCCACCCCCCAGCAAAGCTTCAGGGCTCACCCTGGAGCCGGCGCATCCAGCTTGTCTTGGGTGCTGGCGCTTTTCCATCGGACACTCTTGAGGCCCAGGCTCTGGAAAGAACAAGAATGCTGTTGGCTAAGAATGCCCCAGGGTCCTGGTCTCCCCTCAGAAGGTCCACCAGCCTTCTGCCCTCAGCCACTGCCCATCCCTGGCAGGGGAACCCAAGCTGCCCACATTCATCCTTGGGAATGACAGAGAAAGCTCAGTGTTTCTCTGCTGTCACTGGTAAAAGCAGGAATTTTGGATTGGGATTAGGGGTCAGTGAGCCAGGGGCCTGTGGGCAGCCCTGCAAGAGAGGGGAAGAGGTCTGCTCAGAAGCACTGGATTCAGTTCAGTTCAGTCCAGTCCAGTCTAATCCAATCTACCAAACTCCATCACATCTGTGTCGGGGAATATGGTAACGAGGGAGAAAAGGCCAGGTGGGGCATGGCCAAGCTAGGAGGGGCCTTAGAAATTCCCACACATACTCATCAGCTCCCCTACTGATCAGGCAACAAGCATTAATTAAGCACCTACTGTGTGCCAGCACTAGGCTAGGCTCTGGGGAGACAGTGAACATGAAATCATCCTTGGTTGGGCATGGGGGAAGGGGGGCAGGGAGAGCAGTTGTGTGTGAGTAGATACAAGGTATAAAAAAGTGCATCAAAGTATAAACCTCAAAGAAATAATAGAAGTCATTTATCTAGGACCAGGGCCATCAGATCTTTGTCCCAGGGCCCAAAATGTGGAAGATACCACCTGTGCACCTTAGTAATTAGAACCAACTGAGTTTAGCCAAGCTAATTCTGAAAATAGGAGGCTCCCCTCCCCACCTTTGGGCCACACCTCAGAGGGGCACATTCTGGGCTCCCCTTCTGGGGCAGCCTCCTGGGTGTCCCAACTGCATTTTGACCAGAGTGTGTGTGCAAACCCTAAGACTGGACACCAAAGTGCATCCTGAGGTGGTCAGGAAGGGCTTCCTGGAGGAGGTGGCAGCAGTGCTGGGGACTGGACTTTGATGTTTTGTTAGATTCAAGTTACTAGAAGGGAGGAAAAGAGAGGGTGCCCCACAACATATTTACACAGAGCTAGCTCTTGGTAAGTATTGTGGATTGCATGTGTGTATGATTGATGTGTGGATGGGTGGCTGGGTGGCTGGGTGGCTGGGTGGGTGGGTGGATTCCAGCACTTAGAGGCAGAGAACTGATTAGGGAAAACTGATCATCTGCCCCTCTTCAGAAGGTCAAATGAAAGAGATATGGGATTCTGATCCAAGGTGTCAGAACTGGGAGGGACCTCCGAGACCTTTGGTTTACTCCATCCCTACCCAACCAGCCATCCTGCCTATATCACCGCTGTGGACATCCTTGTTGCCATCCAGACATTAGTTGAAGACTTCCAGAGAGGGGGAGCCTGCCGCACCTCCCCCAATCACACCTACCCCATCAGCCACCCTCTCCCCCCATCAGTTCCCTCCTTCCCTTCCCCATTAGACTGCAAGCTTCTTGAGAGCAGGAGCTATCTTTCTTTTCATTAATTGTATTCCCACCACTCAGCACAGTGCCTGGCAGAGTAGGTGCTTTAAAAATGTGTATTGGAATGGACTGGATCACTTCTCCCAGCCCTTTTAGATAGTACTGATCGCTAGGAAGTGGAGAATTTGCCTCTTGGCCTTTAGCCACCAGTATTTATTCTGATCCCTGGGGCCAAGCAGAAGGCCTCTAACCAGCTCTTCATGTCCCATCTAAGACCTTTCCTCCACTCTAGGCTTCCCGACTTCCTTCATGGATCCTATATGACATGGACCCCAGGCCCTTCACCAGCCTAGTTGGCCTCTTCTGTACTCCAGCTTATCAATGGCCCTCCGAAACTGTGGTGCCCAGAATTGACCACGGTCCTCCAGGGGTGGTCTGAGGTGGTTGGAGAACAGCAGGATTGTCACCTCCCTAAACTTGGGCACTATAGCCCTCACTTAATACAACCTAAGATCACATTCACTGTCTGGGTTGCCAAGCTTGTGGTCCATCCAAACCCCCAGGTCTTTTTCAGATGAACTATGATCTTAGACAAAACTCTCCTATTTTGTACTTAAGCCATTGATTGTTGAGTTTGAATCTATTCCTGATTTTATTTGCAGGAAGGGTCCCAGCCCTGAAGGCTCAAAGGAGATCTTCATGTTCCTTGCAGCCTGCCCTCTTAGGGATAGGCCTGGAGTGGAGAGAGTGACCACCTTCCTCACTAACTTGGTAGAGAGCTCCTGGTCTGCCAGCCTTGTCTCAGTCATCATTCACTTCAGATCCCAGAATTGCCCCCCCACACACACACATGCCCATTCCTGAGCCCAGACAGGGAAGCTTCTCTTGGAAGGCTACTCGATGGGGAGAGGGGGTAGGGAGAAGGTGGCATGGTATGGTAGCAGCTGCCGTCTGGATCCAGGCAGGGCACTTGGACATGGGCACTGGGCATGGGAATGATTGACCGATGATTCTCTGGTGGTCCTACTTCAGGGCCGGGGCCGAGGAGCTGCGATCATGGAGCACCTCAGCTGGTGTGGATGCCAGAGGAGAGACGGATGGGGGCCCAGGCAGGGGCACCAACAACAGGAAGAAGCCCTGTTCTCTGAAAGGCAATCTAGCTCCCCAGCTCAGGACAAGCTGTTGGTGATGCCAGGCACCTCCCACTTGGGCCTTTTTACTCCCAGTTCCCCTGGCTCTGGCACAGAGGAGGGGCTTCTACAAGAGTCATCTCCTATGTTTAGAGCTCTCTAAGTTTTGCAAAGTATACAGTCTCTCATGTTACTCTCACAACAACCCTGGAAGTTGGTACTAATATGATCTTCATTTTACAGAGGAAGAAACTGAGGCAGAGACTTAAAAAATGCTAAAAAAAAAAACCACAACTTAAGGGATTTTCCCAGGGTCACACAGCTAGTGTCTATCCCATCAAACAGTGTGGTGCAGGGGGAAGTGCTTAGCACCAGAGGACCTGGCACTTATCTCTGATCCTAGCTTTCATCATCTAGAGTATGGGCCAGAGCATTCTCTTTCCCCCATTTCACAGAGAAGACACTTTGAGATAGTCACCCTGGCACAATAATTAGCTTGTTCAGCCCCTAGAGGCTTCCTAAAGTCCAGGTGCTTCTCTCCCCTTTCACTTTAAGAAGTTTCCTTCAGATGAAAAGTTGAGTTTGACCACCATTGCTCTGAGCCCCCAGTTAGCATACTCCCTAACATGCAGGCAGAGGGTGGGTTCCTTACCTAACCTTAGGTTTATACCTACCTTGAGTTAATCCCTGACCTCTTTGTAGTTGAGGTACAGTTGTGTTTACTATAAATTTTGGGGGAGAAACAGTAGATTATGTTAGAGTGTCTGTGGCTAGGTGGGCACTGGGGGGGGGCGATGCTGGAGAAACAGCTGGCCCTCTCTTGAGGACTGTCCTCAGCCCAGTTCTTTTGCTCCAAGTTGACCATAGAGGGTATGACTGTCCTCTGTAGCTCTGTTCTCTGCCACACTCAGTGCTACCCTTCTGCTGCTTTAGGGATGGGCTAGAAAGCCAGGGGCTCCAATGTCTGGTAATCAATCCCTTCCCAACTTGATAATTTACAGACAGCTCCTGAGGTGCGGCTCAAGTTTCCTCTGTCTATCCACACTGAATTTTCGTACAACAGTCTTCAAATCTGAAGGCTCTTTGGTGCTTAGCTAAAGGTCTATGACTTATTGATTGAGACAGTTCTCATCTAGTTAAGATGTCAAAGCTAAGGAAAAGAATGCTGGGTGGGACAGAGCCCTGAACTCACCAAGAGTCAGGGGACTTGAGGTCAAGTTCCAGCTTCACCCTTAGGAAAAGTTAATGACCTTGGACAGAGACTATGCCTCAGTGTCCTTGCAAAATGGTGTTTTCTCTGTCCCAGGTTGTTGTAAGAATAGTGCTTTGTAACTTATGTATCACCATAGACACAGGGGCCCTATTGAGGCTTGTTGGTTACCTCAGGCCAAAGCTGAGGCAGAGAAACAACCAAAGGGAGAGAGGGAGGCAGCAGGGAGGCAAGCAGGAAGAAGACAGGTGCAGGGTGAGGAGGTGAAAGTCAAGGGGGGAAATGGAGGGAGAGGGGAAGAGAAGATGAAGGAGAGAGAGGTGTGTGCCTTTGTGGAGGGCCTGGAGGAGCAAAGGCCATGACATTACCAGGTTGCTTGGTCTGGGCTACTCCCATCCTGCTTAACCCTGGACACAACAAACTGAGAATGTCTTAGTAGTTAAGACAGGGACAGAGAAACTAAATGAGGTCTCCTGTCTTGGTCCCACCGATGGTCTTGTGTCTTGTGTGCTCATTGATGGGTAGACATAATGTTTCCAAAGGAACTCAGAGAAAGGAGGGGCTTCCTGGAACTTGGGTACTCAGAGAAGGCTACCTCTAGTGGGGGGACCCATTCATTCAAGCTGCTATTACCCTAGGGTGGCCTTTCTTCATCCCTGTCATGGCTTCGTCCCTCCTCTTACCTTTCTCCCCTGATCCTCCTTCCAGTGGCAAGGGGACCCAGATGGACATCTTGGCCCCAAGTTCCAGCATCTTGGTTTTCCTTAGGCCTCAGACCCCACAGCTTTTTTCTAATGCCAGCTTTCTTTCCCTTCCATCCATCCTTCCTCCTTCCTTCCTTCCTTCCTTCCTTCCTTCCTTCCTTCCTTCCTTCCTTCCTTCCTTCCTTCCTTCCTTCCTTCCTTCCTCCCTCCCTCCCTCCCTCCCTTTCTCTTTGTCTAGTTGTGCTAGGGAAGGGGCTCAAGTTGCTGTGTGGCCTTGGGAAAATATCTAGCCTTCTCTGGGCCTTGCTGCCTCATCTACACAATCAGGGAGTTGGGAGATCACAGGATTTTGAGGGGAGGGAACCTCAGGAACCATTTGACCCTATTACCCTTCACTGATGAACAATCACTTCCAATTCTGTGGTATGAAATGGTTAACTAAGCGCTCTCCTCCCAACTCTTGGCAGTGGGGTGTGAGAGGCAGTTCTGTTGGGCTTGGTGACAAGAACATTTGCCCTTCCCCCCATCATGGGGAGTCACTCTTATCCCCAAATGCAAAGGGACTTGCCTCTGGTCCCAAAGCTAGCAAGTAGAAGGACTGGGCTCCATGAGCCCAGGTCCTCTGACCTCCCCCTCCCCCATGGGCCCTACTGCCCCTCCCTTTGGGGCCACTTTTGACTGGAACCCTTTTTTCTCTCCTGATTTTCTGGTTTTTGGCTCCTGGTCCTTTGATCTCTTTCCAGCGGACATCAGATGCCCTCCTTCCCTGAGAAGGTGGCTGGGGAGGCCTGGGCATTGGTGGCTGCAGGGTGGGGCTTGGGCTCTGGACTTGGCTGGGAAGGCTATGCAAATACCTTGGGCAGCTCAAAGAGAGAACCATATGCAAAGGCAGGCCTCCTTTGCATGCTGCAGGTGCAGGAGGCCTTCCAAGCCCAGCTTCAAGGACACCCGCCCCAGAGCCCTGAACTGGAGGCGGGAGCAGGATGGGGAGGGGAGGCCGAGGAGGAAAACTCTCTCTCACCCACACAAACCACGGCTGCACAGCGCCGTAGTGGCCATAGGACTTGCAAGACCCAGGCTGGGAAAGCTTGGGGAACAAGGGGTGAGGAATTACCTCTGGGGAGGATTTGCTTAATTCCATAGACTTTCATCCTCTGAGAGGGCCGGGGCTGCGTCTGGACCAGAGGCCAGGGGAGTGGCCAAAGGATCTCAGGGGGACCGGAGGCATTAAGATTTGAGTAGCTGTGCCAGGGTTAAGGAGGCAGAGTCATCTGAACCTTGTGGCTGCCCCTGGGCTAAGGAAGAAGAGGAAAGAACCCGGGGCTTGGAGGGGCCACGGTTCTGGTTCTTCCAGTCACTGGCTGTGTGGCTTTGGGCAAGTCTTTTGCCCTGCCTGCGCTCCTGTCTCCTCCTCTCTAAAAGGAGGGCTTTCAACTAGGTGGTGCCTAGGGCCCCTCCTAGTACTGACTCTATTCTCCAAAGAAGGCAGCTTCTGACAAGAGAGCCTCGGATCCCTCACTGCCCCACACCATGCCCTGAGGCTCCCCTGCCTCCTGTCTCCAATATTTTCTGGTCCAATGGTCTGTAAGTGCTGTTGGGCCCCAGGACAAACTCTGAGGTTCCCCTGCATGGACCTGTATTCCAGGGAGTTTTCCCTGCCCAGCCAAGAACTGAGCACAGGAAAACTCAAAAAGAATGTGCCAAGTTCTTTTTCATCAAGCCATGCATTTTTCATCCCTTCCCACTGGCCTGCGAGGTAGGGAAAGGCAGGGGATTATATCCTCCCCCTTTGCACATAAGGAAACATAGGCCTAACCAGGGACAAGGGCATACAAGTGAATGACTGTCAATCTTGAGCTTCTGACCAGGAGCACGGTTTATGTTTTTCTCCCACCCTGACACCACTCCTAACCCTCTTCCTGCCAGAAAGCTGAATGACATCAAATGCCTTTGCCCCTGACTCCTTGACCAAAGTGCTCAGAGCTCATCTTGGCAGAGCCTGGCTTGGCCTTGCCTGGGCTGAGGGACCCCCCTGTGTCCCAAGCCATCCTCTAGATGAGGCCAGGGCTGCTCTTACCTGTTTGGCATCTCTGGAGCTCAACATGATGCAGGCGAGCAAGGTGGGTCAGTCACCCAGCCCAGCCCTGGCAGAGAAAGCCAATTCAGTGACTTTGTCTCTTTGTGGAAAGCTCTGTGTCCAGACAGACCAGCCTCTCTATTGAAATGGCAAAGAGAAAGGAGGAGGGGACTCTCCCACCACGACATCTGTGACTACCTTCCAGGAGGGGGCAGGGGCTGTAAACAAATCCTATACAAATTACACTTGGGCCTATGCCCTGGGCCAGGCACTAGTGGGCCTGACCAACCCTCAAGATGGAGGGTCAACCTCACGACTTCCATTCTCAGGCTCTGGGATATGGTCACCCAAAACTTTGTGCCCTCTGACTCAGGACCATGCCTTTAGGAATGGATTCCTGACAACTAATTTATGCTGTCTCCGTCCCCTGTGCTGAGCCCTGTCCCTACCACAGGGAGGATGGTACTCAGAGAAGCTCAGCCACCAACTCATGAAGCCTGCTGGTCCTAGAGCCTGTAAGCTCCTCTGGCCATGTATGCCCTCAAAAAGTAACTCAGTCAGTCAATAAGTATTTGTTAAGCACCTACTATGTGCCCTGGACTGACTGTGCTGGGCTAGAAAGGCAAAATGAAATGCTCCCTGCCCTCGAGGAGCTGACATTCTACTACAGCAATACAAACCCCACAGAGGGTAGCTCAGGCAGGGGCACTCCCTCGCCCAGCGAGGTTGGTGAGGATAACATAGGTGGAAGAATAACAGTTACACCTCTCGGTAGCAAAGAAAAGGGCAGCTAGGCATGCAGGGAATAGAGCACCGGAGTCAGGAGGACCTGAGCTCAAATCCAGCCTCAGACACTTGACACTTCCAAGCTGTGTGACCCTGGGCAAGTCACTTAACCCCATTGCCTAGCCAAAAACAAAACAAAGAACAACAAAATAAAATGGAAAGACCTGAATTCCAATCTGGTCTCAAACTCCTACTAACTGCGTGATCTTGGGCGAGTCACTTCACCCTGCTTGCCTCAGTTTGCCTCAAATGAACTGGAGAAGGAAACGGTAAGCCACTCCAGTATCTTTGCCAAGAAAACCCCTGGGGATACGAAGAAACATAAAACACAGGTGCTCTGGAAGAGCTCATGGTCTGGTGGAGGAGGTAACAAATGAAGAGCCAGGTCCTCCCTGCCGCCCTTCAGACTATAGCTCCCTGAGGGCAAAGCTTGGCTTCTGCTTCCTTCTGCATCCCAGTGCTTAGCACATAGTAGGTAAGTAATCAATGTTTACGGACTGACTGAATGTGCAAACAAGTTATAGACAGATTAAGTAGAAGGTATGGTCAAAGGAAGAGTTCTAACAGCAAAACTTGGGGGTATGATCAAAGAAACTTCCTGCAGAAGGTGGGATTTGAGTTGAATCTTGAAGGAAGCCAAGGAGGCAGCGACAAGGAGGGAGAGCATGCCAGGCATAGGGCACAGCCAATGCAAAGACCAGGAGTGGGGAGATGGAGCATCACACGCAAGGAACAGTGAGGAGGTCAGAGTAGCTCAGCTGTAAAATGTGAGAAGAGAAGAATAAAGTGTAATAAGACTGGAAGAATAGGAAGGGACCAGGTTGTAAAGAGCTTTACAAGCCAAATAGAAGAGTTCCTGGAGGCCATAGGGAGTCTTTAGAAGTGATTAAATAGGGGAATGATGTGGTCAGATCTGCACTTTAGGAAAATGGCTTTGACAGCTGAATGGAGAATAGATTGGAGTGGGGAGAGACCTGAGGTGGGTAGACCCCCTCCCCCAGCTGGATATTGCAATAGTCCAGGTGTAAGAAAATGAAGGCCTGCACCAGGGTAGGGGCAGCAACCAAGGAGAGAAGGGGGTGTATGTAAGAGGTGCTGCAGAGGTGAAACGGACCAGAGATGCATCAGAGGTGAAATGGACCAGAGGTGTGGCAGAGGTGAAATGGACTAGAGATGCTGCTGTGGTGAAATGGCCAGAGATACTGCAGGGGAAGTAGTATGAAATGGACCAGAGATTCTGCTGAGGTGAAATGGACCAGAGATGCTGCAAAGGTAAAACGGACCAGAGGTGTGGTAGAGGTGAAATGGACCAGAGATGCTGCAAAGGTGAAATGGACCAGAGGTGTGGCAGAGGTAAAATGGACCAGAGATGCTGCAGGGGAGGTGGTATGAAATGGACCAGAGATGCTGCAGAGGGGAAATGGACCAGAGGTGCTGCAGAGGTGAAATGGACCAGAGATGCTGCAGAGGTGAAATCAACAACAGATTCTCAGAAGTGAAATGAGCAACAGTTGCTGTAGAGGTGAAATCAAGCGGGCTTTGTCACTCCATTGGATGTGGTAGGGGAGAGTAAGGAGTCCAGGATGACGCCTAGGGTTTAAGTCTGGGGGACTGGAAGGATAAGGTTTTTTTTGTTTGTTTTGTTTGGGGGTTTTGGGGGGGGCAGGTTGTGAGTGGAAGGAGGTAATGATTTAGACATGTTGCGTTTGAGATGCCTCTGGCTCATTCAGTTTGAGAAGTCCATAGGTTAGCTATTTATGTAAGAATAGAGGTAAGAAGAGAGGTGAGGGCTGGATGTAGCGATCTGGGAAATGTTGAGTACTTCTCATCTCTGAGTCATTGCCAATGTCATTCCCACATCCAGAATGCACACCCCAGGGGTCCAAGAAGCCCAGCCTCATTCCTACTGTCCGTCTCAGAGTTGTGAGAATTCACAAAAATGAGCAATGCTTTTTAGGGGACTGGGGATCTGAAATCTCTTGGATGTGGGCCTTTCCCTAAAAGGGGAGGGAGCTCATACCTAGCCTTATCTGGTTCTGGAAGGCTCTGGCAGCTTCTACTGAGCTAGGAAGGCTTCAGACTCTGGGTGGGGCCACACTCTCCCTGCTCTCTTACAGTTACTTAACACTTTAAGGGTGACAAAGTGCAGTCTTCTTAATAACCTGGTGAGGCAGGGCACAAAAAACATTGTTCCTATCTTACAAGTGAGGAAACTGAAACTCAAATTAAGAAGTGACTCACACCACCCTATAGACCCTTCTCTTCTCCTCTCTGCCTCCTTATTCTCAGGAAAGGTGACAACCTTGTAGCCTGCCCCCATCCCAGGTCAGAAGGCAAAGCACTCACCTTCCCTGGGGAAGTCCTGCCCCAATGCGCACCATTATTGCTTGACCACTGGAGGGAGCCCCAGGAGTGGAGTAGAATTTAAGACTTCTCCAGGTTGTCAGGGACCTCAGGGGCATCTGGTCTCCCTACTGCCTTCCCCTAACACCAGCCCTGACAGGAGGACAGTCCCCCTCACCTACCCCAGCAGCCCTTTCTTTGTTTGCAGTTGGGAAAATTTGTGTAACACTGAGTCCAACGTTTCTTCTTTTCATCCTCCCCTTAGTGGTCCTTCTGCCCATGGGAGCCAAATGACAAGGCCAATCTCTCATCTACATGTAATGGTCATACACCAACACCATCACCGCACCCTCACCCTGCCCCCACCACTCTTCTCTTTTCCAGGTTCAAACCTTTTCAGTTTCTTCAAGCAATACTCATAGCCTGGCCTCTAGTCCCCTCCCCATCTTGCTTCATTCCCAGGCAATGCACAGAATATTAATTCAGATACCTTAATTTTACAGATGAGGAAACTGAGTCCCATAGATGGGAAGGGACTTGTGCCTCTGAGGTCACATCTCAGGAAAGGGGTAGAAGTGGAATTTGTGTCCAGGTCCTCAGACTCCCCAAACAGCAACCCTTCTTTGGTATGCTTCTATACTCCCTCCAGCCCTCTTTGTCGGAAGAAAGATTTGGGAGAAGGGCAGAGATTGGGAGGGGCTGCATGTGTCCTCCAGAACATTTAACCAAAAGAAGTGGCCAACCCAAACTTGTGGCTGCCCCCTCCATGGCAGCAGAGGGAGAAGGGAGGCAGGAGCAAGTGTCCCCCTCTAAACAAAGGCTACAGTCCTACATCCACGGCCACACTTTAGACAAAGTGTGAGCACCAAGCACCTGAAAACCCAGTACTCTGGGGCTTGCTAGCTCAGCCAGGCCTTTGGTCTCTCCCAACAGCTCAGCCTTACCTGCTTCTCTGTCTCCCAAAGCCCTTATTTGGGGCCTCTTCAAAACCTTGGATGAGGAACACAGACCTCTGGCTTCTAGTTTCCAAGAGTGCTATGGAAATTTGGATGAATCCCTGTCTTCTTCTGGGCCTCAGTTTTCTCAACTGTAAAATGTGGTGGCTGGATTGGAAGATTTCCAAGTTCCCTCCCAGCTTCAATTTTCCATGTTCTCTGTTCTAAGGTCCTTCCCCACTCTGACATTTCATGATCTACATTCTAAGGTCCTGCCCAGCTCTCACATTCCATGTTCTATGTTCTATGGGTCAAAGGCTCTTCCCCAATCTGACATTCCATGTTCTAAGGTTCTAAAGGTCCTGCCCAGCTCTGATATTCCATGTTCTATGTTCTACATTCAGAGTCTCTTCCCCAATCTGGCATTCCCTCTTATTTGTCCTGAGGTCTCTAACAGCACTGAGTTTGAGCATGCTCGGTGTCTGCTCTTTGGTACGCAGGCCCAGTGGACAGCGATCCCTGAGGACGTTTCAGCCTTTGAATTTGCATCTGCAGAGCCTAGCAGCGCTGGGTGCAGCGCAGGCGCCTCGTAAGTATTTGAGGATTGACTTGTCTCCCACAATCACAATGAATAGGGGCGAGCTATGAAGGCGCTAAACCAGGGAGCGTGCTGGTAAGTGAGTAATGCCTAGCTCTCTGAAAGAGTGGACACAGTGCGCCCACGTTTTAAGTTAAGCTGTGCCCCATCCTTAAGTGTAGATAATCAACAGAACAAAAATCAAACCCCGCTTGGTAGCACTTGTCCATTTCTGAGGCGTGAATGGGATCACTGAAGCTTCACAACTGTGACTCTGGAGCAGGTTCAAGCGGGCTCCAGCACCGCCCTCCTCTCCTGCTCGCCGCCCCTTCCCCCCCTCACCTCTCCTCCCCCAGCTCCCAGCAGCGTGCCTGGGGAACAGCGCTGGTCTCTCCCTGTCCTGGGCCCCCCAGCTCCCTGTATGTCAGCACCAATCTGGCCCAGAACAAAGTTTGTTCTCAGTTCTAGGTGTGGCCACAAGGATCCAAAGCTGGGGGGCA